CATCAGGAGCTTTACCTAAGCCCCACTGGCTGCGCTCGCATGTGCCCGCCGCACCCTTGTCGGCGCACCCCTCACACGTTCCGTGGCCCCATGGAGAACTCCACCGCGACGCCACTGGCTGCGCTCGCTTGCGCCCGCCGCACCCATGTCGGGGCGCCCCTCGCAAGCATCGTGGCCCCACGAGGAGCTCCACCGAAGGCCCCAATGCGTGCGCTCGCATGCGCCCGCTGCACCCATCTTAGCGCGCCCCTCACACGTTTCGTGGCCCCATAAGGAGCTCCCCCGAGGGCCCCACTGGATACGCTCGCATCCGCCCGCCGCACCAATTCTGGCACACCCGGCACACGCTTCGTGGCCCCATAGCGGGCTCCACTGAAGGCCCCCTTGGCTGTGCTCGCATCCGCCCGCTACGCCAATGTCACCACACCCCTCACACGCTCGTGGTCCCATAGGGAGCTCCATCGAACGCACCAATGGCTGATGCGCCCGCCGCACCCATGTCGGCACACACGTGTTTCGTGGCCCCACGGGGAGCTCTACCAAATGCTCCAATGGCTGCGCTCGCATGCGCCCGCCGCACTTCTTTCGGCATACCCCTTACACATTTTGTGGCCCCACGAAAGGCTCCACCGAAGGCCCCAATGGCTGCGCTCGCGTTTGCCCGCCGCACCTATGTTGACACACCCCTCACACGCTGCGTGGCCCCATGGGGGGCTCCACAGAAGGCTCCAGTGGCTGCGTTCGCATGCGCCCGTCGAACTCATTTAGGCACACCAGCTCCACCGAAAGCCCCATTGGCTGCGCTCGCATGCGCCCGCTGCACCCGTGCCGGCACACCCCTCACACGATTCGTGGCCCCATAGGGAGCTCCACCAAAAGCCCCAGCGCCTGCTTTCGCATGCGCCCGCCGCACACCCCTCGCACGTTTCGTGGCCCCATAGGAAGGTCCACCGATGACAATATTCTGAATAGTGTCACTCACATCTACATATCGTTGAGTCCTTCGCCAGGCTATGTTTTTTCGGGGGCTCATGTGCCTGAAGCCTCGGCTGGGCTTAAAGGGCGCCCAGGGTTGAAGGGGATGAGGATGAGGAGAGGGAAGAGGTGGAGAGGAGAAGGAAGAGGAGGAACACATTGCTGAATGCCTCGGCGGCCAGTCGTGCCAGTGAGACGAAGTTTTCTCTCCAACGTCCTCGTGTTCCTCGTCGTGTCCTCCCTTCGGGGCCAACCTTTCCCATCGATCCGCATCCCCTCAATATCCGCCTCCTCCTCCCTCCCCTCCTCCTTTACGGGAGTGAGGATGGCCATAGCGATTCGGAGGGGGCGGGTGATGATGATAATTGAAGGAGTGTCGATGAACATGAAGAGGGGAAGGGCTCTTAGTAATGATACTTTAGCCAGAGGTCGTTCGTCAGGACTCGTGGGTGCGTGCGAGTTCAGTAAGGACTGTTGCTAGGTGTCTGTAGCCAGCGTGTTCCACAACAGCGCTTCGAATTTACCACGGTTTGTTGAACCATAGTTGTTGAGTACGGATCGTTTAGTAATGAGCCCTGCAAAAAGACTCCTGTAGTCGGAACCGTATATTCCACATTCATACGAGCTCTTGGGCAAGGATTCTGTCAGATGGGTTCCCGAATCGAAATGCACTGGCCAGGGGTCTTGAACAACGATGGGTGGGCATCGAGCCGCCTGGACAAATTATGTACCAACGTTTTGTCAAACATTATCTGCCACACGGCTCTTTCATACACATTCGATCCGTGACGGTTCCTGTAGGAAGTGTTCCGTCCGACAGAATTCCCCTGCGAAGGAACCTTTTATAGACAGATACCTGTAATGGAGAAATCTCTCTCCCCTACGGGATCCAGTGCGGAAAGGCTCAATTTCTAACGGTTCCCTCGTGAAGACCATTGGCGAAAATCATGTGGCACGTGTTGTTTAAGCCCGGGTTAATTTACACATGGGCCCCTGATTACAAGAAATGGCTCAACAAGGGCCCATAGGCATTTTGGATCAAGCTGCTGTGGTGCAGGCCTCGCCTCCCCTCTGCTGACGCCGATGCCGAAGTCTGATGGGCGCTCCCGGTGCCTCGAGGCGGCCCGCGCCGCCGCGATGGCTGCGCACTCCGCGGCTGGGCTGGCCACAGCTGCGGGGCTTCGCGAGGCTGCACGCCTCCTCCGCTCCAGCGAGGCCATGGCGAGGGCGGCGGCGGCGGTGCTGGCGTCGAGCACTCCAGGACCCACAACTTCGCGGCCGGCCGGCCAGGCCGATGACGCGACTGCTGGCGCTGCTCCGGTTCCGGCCACGGCGCGCCGGCGTGGCAAGAAGAAGAAGAAGCAGTTGATGCAAATCGAGGCGGCCGTGGAGTGCAACGATGCAGCGGAGGTGTCAATCGTGGGCGGTGGCCCCGTTGCCTCTTCTGCACCGCTCTCGGCCGACGCGCTGGAGTTCAAGCCCGCCCGCGTGCTGAAGCCCCAGACGTCCCGTGAACGCTCTCCTCGGCGCGGCCCGGTCGTTGCTCCTGCTTCTCCGCCTTCTGCGACCGCCGCTGGTTCTGCTTCCGGTACCGCGCGCTTCGATGTCAACCAGCCTGTCGTCCTTGGAGGTTTGGTCTCGCGGCCAGGCCTCGAGGGCATGCGTGCCACCGTCCTGTCGTTCGACGTGGCGGCGGAGCGCTACGCGGTGCAGGTCGACGCCACCAACGAGCGCGTGCGCGTGCGCGGGGCCAACCTGCGCGCGTGCGGCTGACGGTCGCCCTTGGCGTTTGTCGGCATGTGAATTCGCGTGTGCAGATGGGCACCCTATCCCGGTAGGTGCTGCGTCCAGATGCTCTCTGCATCACGCTCGGAGGAAAAAAAAATCAACAAGGGCCCATCGAAAGATGACTCCCTCCTGGGCAACGGTTCGTGTCGCACGGGTTCCTGCACGTGGTATAGATTCCTTGGCGACTGATCATTTGCTCATGTCCCCCTTTCACTGGTCGTACGGGGTCCTGAATAAGGATCCCTGCGGCGGGACCCTTTAGCATGAATTCCTAGATTTCCACATGAGTCAGTACGGGTTCCTTTGCTAAGGATACTTGTTGTAATGCTAACTTAACGCCGGTTATGTGGCACGGTGTTCTAACTAAGAGTTCCTGTGTTGAGGACCCTTTTTTCTCTTAGAGATTCCTTAACAACAATTTATCGCTACGAGCTATTTGCGATGGTTCTTTCGGCTGGAACTTTGTCAATGAGGAACGTCGTTCGTCGTCGTGGTTCCATGTCGGTTGGCATACTGCGCGCGTGCGGAAAAAGACACAGGGATTGGAATAGCCATCGACCTAGCAGTAATTGCCTTGGTCGTAGTTCTGCTGATAGCATCAGCGTCAGCGTCAGTGGGGCATTCGTAGTGGCAACAAAAAGGCTGACCAGACGGCGCCACTCGGTATTGCGACAAATCGAGCAGGTAGAATGCACATCCGGCAACATCGATGAATGCGTGCGCTGCGCGTCCTTGAAGGTTTGATGATGGTGTGTCTTCGTGTTGTCTGAAATTGACGCATGTTCCAGCTGTGCGTTACAGTTGGACGTCATTGCTATCTGCTTTGGGCGTCGGGTATTTGCATATGCTACGCGTGCGCGGCATGGGTGTGACATGCATGGTTATTATTGGCGTCTGCCCTTGGTGCATGTAAGGGACATGTGGCGCTAGTGTACGTTACGGACGTCTGTTGCTAATTCTACTGGCGTGCGAGATTGCTGCCTGTCCTTCGCGTATGCCATTGATGTCTGCTGCGTATGGGGATCGTGGGCGTGTCGGTGTAGATTATTGATACTTGATTATGATGTGCGTTCTGAGTGTGATGTTGATGTGTAGCATTGCAGTGTGTTCTTTAGGTCTGCTCCAGTGTTGAGATGTCTGTAAGATAGCACCTGCACGGCGTGACGCCTTCCTGGCGGGGCCCGCGAGGCAGGCTCCCCAAAGAGCGCCCAGGACTCTTGGGGCCTGGCGGCCGCAGTAACACTCCTGGTGGTCGAAGCGGGGAGTGGCGCTGGGACGCCTCCCTGGTGGGTCTCTACTACTAGTCTACTGCTCAATCTTACGCCGCGGCGCGTGGACGCATGCAATGCCGACCTACGGAAAATGCCCAATCAGATTTGCTGTGAACGCCAATGCGAATGTCCATCTGGGCGGCCTCTCTCTGCAACATCGTCGTCCATTCATTCCAGGGCCTCCCCAATGCTCGTACATATCGCTGCACTGCTGGTCTCAAAGATCCCGGGATAAACGCAAGAGGCTTCATTCCTCAGAATATCTGGGGACTCTTGGGGCCTGGTGGCCGCGGAAACTGGGTGGGCGATGCGGATCCTGGGCTCTCTTCTTCAAACCCAGCAGGGCCATCCTGTCGGGTGGGGCGCGGGATCGACTGAGCATCTTTGTTTGCGGCATCCTCTGCCGGAGGGGCGGTGACACCTTTCCAAACTCAACCACTGCTGGCTCCCCACCGCCGCACCGACATGTCAGCTCATCGTCCCGTTTCTGCATCCATTCCTCTGCAAGATCATCAGCAACGTGTGGCTTCCAACATACAACTGCACCACAACGAGCACGAACACGGTTCACGTCACAAGCGCGAGCGCTAAGATACTCGCCCAAAGATGGCACCCCATTCAGGTGCATCGCCATGGCAGGTACTGAGGCATACAAGCCGTCGCGGACGTCGCCATCATCACCCTCGTTGTCACCAAACATGAGAAGGCGTCATACTCCTCTTCGGCACCACTCCCTCCGCACCCAGCTCTCCCCCGCACCTCCCCGACTCGTTCCCCCCCACCCCGTCCACATCCCGGTAGCCCCATCCCCCCTCCGCGGGACTCTTAGCCTCACTCCACCCTCTGCCTACCCCCCCCCCTGTGCACTCTGCGCCCCCCCTGCATTCCCTTTGTCTCTTGCTCGCTACCCCCTTCTCCATCCGTGCCATCCCCTCCGTCCCCCCAGGGGTGTCGTGGCAGAGGGGCCTCCGAGGCGTCCGATGAGGTTGCCACGCGGTCTGTCAGCCGTTGCGCGGTCTCATCGCTGGCCTCTGGGCATATGGAGTGGGACGAGCGGGCAGAGGACGGAGACGGAGGGACGAGGAGGGGGGGGCGGAGGAAGAGGCGACGGGGGCCACTGGCTTCCTGGGCACAGAGGAGGAGCGCGAGGAGGGGACGGGGGAGGAGGGTGAGGAACCGAAGGAGGAGGAGGACGAGCAGGATGCACCCTCGGAGCCTTTACTTCTGGAGGATCCCTGCAGAGGAACGCCCGCTTGGGGGCTGCACCCAAGGGGGGCCTGTTCGGCAGTGGCGAGCGGTTCTCCCGCTCAATGATACCCCCCTCCGCCGGGACGAGAATCATGTCGCGCTTTCCGCCATGCGCCCCAGGTTTCATTGTTCGGGAACGGCGAGCGCGGTTCTTCTCCGCAATGTCCACACCATTCTGTGACTCCAGACGAGAAACGCCTCGCGCTTCACACCATGCACGAGCTTGCTGGCGGGAGTGCGATGGAAACTCAAACAAGCATGCCATTTTGTATACATCTGCACAGATGCGTATCGGAACAATGGCTATGCCTTCCCGCTCTGACGTGAAGATAGCGTTGAGCCTTATGCGTCTCCCTGAGTCTGTAATTCGAGCGCACGCGAAAGAACGATCAGAAAGGATCAGACGGCCCCGAGCGCAGGTCTGGAAAAAAACAACCAGAAACCGTCCAGGCCTCCATCAAGTTTGGCGCCCCTCTCCTCATCCGCTCCTCCTCCTCCGCCTCCTCGACCTCCTCCTCCTCCTCCTCCTACTACTCCTGGTCCTCCTCCTCCTCCCTCCTCCTCCTCCTCCTCCTCCTCCATCCTCCTCCTCCTCCTCCTCCTCCTCCTCCTCCCTCCTCCTCCTCCTCCTCCTCCTCCTCCTCCTCTCCTCCTCCTCCTCCTCCTCCTCCTCCTCCTCCTCCGCCCTCCTCCTCCTCCTCCTCCTCCTCCTCCTCCTCCTCCTCCTCCTCCTCTTCTCCCTCTCCACTCTCTTGCGAGCCTGCTTGTCCCTGCGCAGCCTGGTCTCCATGGTGTCCAGGTCGGTGCGGATCTCCTGGACTTCCTGGTCCAGGCGCCTGGGAAATGTGGGCCGGCTGCGGGGGCAGGGGGGAGGGAGCATGCACCGAGGCTCCGAATTTGCCCACGCTTCCGACTTTCTTGGGGTGCCGGGAGCCTACAGATGCATCCGGGGACCTCCGAGACCTCCGGGCAGCGGGCAGAGGACGATGGGGGCATGAGCAGGGAGACGAGGAAACGTACGGTGGAGGACGGGTGTGTGCAACGGGCGGCATGGAAGCACTCTCGGCGCGCCCCACCCCAATGAGTTCGTCGCTTTTGTCCACGACGCTCAATGACGGTCTCACCTTGCACTCGACGACAGGGGGGGAGAACGGGGGCAGCCGCGTGAAAGCGCTCATACTGGCCGCCGCATGCCCCTGACGAGAAGAAGCCAGACACTGACCTCACAGTGGAGATACCACAGGGTCAGACCGAGCGTGCGCAAGGCCGTGTCCGACGTTGCCATCATCAACGGGCCTTCAAGGACTCCGTGGAGACATGAGAAGAAAGGGGTGGTGGAGGGAGGAAATTTAGTGTGATGAAACGGATGAGGATAATGCTGAAAAAGGAGGATGATGATAAATGGGTAGGGAGGAGAACTATGCTTATAATGAGTAGAGAAAACTGTAAGGGGGCGAGAGGAAGCGCAGTATCAGGGAAGAGCAGAAGCTGCATGAGCTTGAGGCTAAGCAGGGAACCCAAGCAGCAGGAGTAGCAGGCAAGGGCAAGAGCAAGAGGATCAAGTACGGGCGCAGAAAAGGGCGAGGAGAAGAGCGAGGAAGGAGGGGATGGGAAGCGAGTTGACAGGGTGGTGTGAGAGGGAGGAGAACATGCAAGATGAAACGAGAAGCACGGAGCAGGGAAGACGGAGAGGCCCGGTCTACCACATGGGAGCCTGTTGGTGGTATCCAGCTCCCTGCTAAGGCTCTGGACATCGCGCAGAAGGCCCTCGGCTCCGCCAGAGAGATCCTGGCAACAGGTCGTGGCGACAGGGGGAAAGAGGAGGTGGAGGGCGGACGGCGCGGATGAGGTAAAGGACGGTGAGGATCTGATGCGTATGATTGGGATGGCGATGCGAAGGTTGCTTATGATCCTGGCAGCGTGGCACCTGAAGTTGTACAAAAAAGGATGGCGATGACGAAGATGATGGCGATGAGCAGGTGGAGGCAGGAAGAGCAGGCCGAGTGGGATAGCGTGGAGGAGCGTGGGGAGGAGGATGGGCAGAAGCGCCAGCATCAGCAGGAGAAGGAAGGGGAGGACGAGGAGAAGAGAGGGAGGCGGAAGGAGACGTTGACGTTGACCGAGGAGGACGGAGTCAGAGGGTCAGGGAAGGATCACCAGAACGAGGAAGGGGCTGGACGGTCTACAAAGGGCTGGGTACCTCGCCCGGCCAATGTTCATTTGTCTGCCAGGGAGACTACCAAACATTTCTATTCACATGTGTTTCCTGACCATCCGGTGGTGTTGGGTCCTCATTTTGAAGAGACAGCGCCCCGCGTTCCACTTTCTCCTCCTCCTCCTTCTTTTTCCTTCGCCTCTTCTCCCATCCCTGCCTCGGCCCTCCGCATGCGGATTTCCGCACGCTCGTCACATGTCCCATGGCCCATACGAAGGGGGCTCCACCGAAGGCCCTAGCGGCAGCGCCCGCATGGCGCCGCCGCCCCCTTTTGGCACACCCCCCACACGCCTTGTGGCCCCATAAGGGGGCCCCCACCGAAGTCCCAAATGGCAACGCCCGCATGTCGCCGCCGACCCATTTTGGCATACCTCTCACACGTCTCATTAAAACAGGGCTGCACCGAAGGCCCCAGCGGCAGCGCCCGCATGGCGCCGCCGCCCCCCCCCCCTTTTCCCCCGTCGGGAACCCCACCAAAGCTCTACATGGCAGCGCCTGCACGGCGCCGCCTCTCAATTCTTGCGCACCTCACACGTTTCGTGGACCCATCGGAATCCCCACAGAAGGCCACAGCGGCAACGCTCGCATGACGCTGCCGCCCCATTTTGGCACACCTCTCACCCGTTTCGCATCTCCATAAAAGGGGGCCCCACCGAAGGCCCAAGCGGCAGCGCCCGCATGGCGCCACCGCGCCTTTGTTGCACAATCCTCACACGTTTCGCGGGCCCATAGGGAGCCCCACCGAAGGCTGAAGTGGCAGCTTCTGCATGGCGCCGCCGCCCCCTTCTGTCACACCCTCACACGCTTCGTGGTTCTACAGGGAGCCCCGCCAAAAGCCCAAATGGCAGGGCTTGCATGGCGCCGCCGCTCCATTTGAGCACACCCCATCACGCGCTTCGTAGCCTCTTAGATAAAGAACTCCACCGAAGGCCCCAATGGCTGCGTCCGCCAGCGTGTGGCGATCCTGTTTACAACCGCCACCCGTTTTGCTTGAAAAGGTTGGGCTTCCGCAAGGCAAGATTACGGCTGTCAGGACTTCCACAAACAGCGCCAGGAAGGCTTGCGGGAGGAGCGTGGCCACCAAACGCTGCCATCCACATGCTGTTCCACACCATCCTGTGGTGCTGGGCCCTCGTTTTGAACAGACAGCGCTGCGCATCCTCTCCTCCCCTCCCCTCCCCTCCCCTCCCCTCCCACTCCTCTCCTCTCCTCTCCTCTCCCTCCCTCCTCTCCTCCTTCTCATCCTCCCCCTCCCCCTCCTCCTCCTCCTCCTCCTCCTCACCCTCACCCTCCCCCCTCCTCATCCTCCTTCTCCTCCTCCTCCTCCACCTCCCCTTCCTCTTCCTCCTCCTCCTCCTGCCCCTCCTCATCCTCCTCCTCCTCTTCCTCCTCGTTCTCCTCCTCCTCCTCCTCCTCCTCCTCCTCCTCCCACTCCCACTCCCACTCCTCCTCCTCCCTCCTCCTCCTCCCTCTCCTCCTCCTCATTCTCCTCCTCCTTCTCCTTCTCCTCCTCCTCCTCCTTCTCCTCCTCCTTCTCCTCCTCCTCCACACCCTCCAATCCATGCTCCGCCCTCCGCATGTCAACCACTTGGGGACAACCCGCGCACGCTTCGTGGCCCCATATTGAGATCCAGCGAAGGCCCCAGCGGCAGCGTCCGAATAGCGCGCCCGCATCCAATTCGGCACATCCCTCGCACGCGTCGCGGCAATATAAAGGGCTCCACTTAAGGCACCGGTGGCAGCGTCCGCATGGCGCGCCCGCACCCAACTCGGCACACCCCGCACTTCTCACCCGCTTCGTGGTCCCAGAGGGAACTCCACCGAAGGCCCCAGAAGCGACGTTCGCCTTCGTCCGCCCCACCCAGTACAGCGGTTCGTGGCCCCATAGCGGGCTCCACCGAAAGGCCTAGTGGCGACGTTCGCATGGCGCACCAGCGCCCAGTTCGACCTGACACGGTTCGTGTGGAGCCCCGATGAAGGCCCCAACGGCTGGGTCCGCATGGCGCACCCGCAATCAGTTCGGCACACCCCTCGCACGCTTCGTGTCCCCTCAGAGAGCTCACCCGAAGGCCCGAAACGGCAACGTGCCGGGAAGGCGGGGTAGATGATGAAGCTCCAGAGGATTGTCGAGGCGCTGGTTCTGCTGCGACGGACAGATCGCCAGCCATGTCCCAGTCGGCCTCCTCCTGCTGGAAGCGCAGCAGCTGTTCGACCGTCTGCTTGTTGTGAGCAATATCCTTCTCGAGCATGGTGTCCTGATCTCGAAGTGTGATGCCCTGTTCATTCATCTTCTTGGTGTGGCCGGTGATGTGACCCGTGGTGCGTTCCATTCTGATCTTGGCGTCGAACCTCTTCTTTAGAATGCCTCCAAACTGGCCTGGCATGAAACGATATGTGGCAACCTTGGCATATTCGTCAATTGGATCTGTCATCGGCTTTCCGGCTTGGAGAGATACCCTGATGAGACCCCCTATCCGATTCATCTTGGTACGTAGTTCTCTTCGGTAAATGTGCCTGGTCTCGGAATCCATCTCGTCTGGGGGGCCCAATACACTGGGCTGGCGAACGCCATGTCTGGAAAGGCTGGTATTGTCGCTCCAAGGACCTTCAGTATCGTCAATGGCGAAGTTTGGCTGCTTTTGCTGGGTGCTGCTGATGGCGGGATCGACTCTGCGAACGATGCCGCGGTCAGGGAAGCGGTCCTGTTTTCGTCCGTGCGCGTACCCCTTTTTGCCACAACGACCTCATGCCCCGTACTTCATCGAAACTTGAAAAGAAGATGGTGATCAAGTCCAAGGCATCGGCTCACGCTGCGCATTAGGATGTAAAGACAATGGGTCTTTGGCTTTGTCCAATATGATGAGGCACCTCACATACGCTCTCCTCTCTCGCGCCCTGCGGCGCCACGTTGGTTCGAAACATACAATAGAGCGAGAGCGACATAATGAATCCATGAAGTGCGGCCGCACAGACGGCGCGCGTCTGGTTGGCTGTGGCCTGTACTGGTGTACAGTTGGGTTCTGCAATGCAGGAGACAAATATTCTCTTTCCTCCACCAAACCCTCACTGCGTCCTCCTCCTCCTCCTCCTCCTCAACCTTCTCATCCACCTCCTCCCCCCCCTCCCATCCAAACACACTCTGTTCTCCTCCCCTTTCTAGCCGTTGCATTCCCTCCCTACGCCCCCCTGCCCCTTCTTCACTCGCCCCCACCCGTCCTCCCGTTCCCCCGAATATCCGCCACCGAGCCGCAGGCACTGCGCACAATGGCATCCAGTCCGTAGCCGTCTTACGTTTGAGTATGATCTCACGCGCATCGCCAACGCTCCCATGGAGTACAGGTCAGAAGTGACCACTGGCGTGGCCGACCAGCTGTGTGTAACAGGGAGGGCGAGCGGGCGTTCCTCGACATTCTGAGCATCGGACGCTCCCGTCACGCAGGTCGCGACGCCACAATGCAAAAACCCAGTGGTTGCTCTTGAACCTGCCCCTTCGATGTGTCGAACTCCAAGTGTACACCCAACGGTGTTACACAGTACGATCAGAAAGAAGTACGATCAAAAAACATATGCACTTCCCCCCGTGAGTTTATAAGTGCGTTTCATCTCTCTGCGTGGCGCATTCGAAAAATGCTTGAAGCTGCCTTTAATCGAGCTGTTACAAACCTAACTATGTGTCTCGCAATTGGTCTAGGCATGGTTGTTCAACGCGATTGCTGAGTTAACGCGTTCACTAACACATGCGTGTTCAGGCAAGCGTGCTCAGCACAGTCGGTTTGCGTGTTCACCAGCACGTTGTTGACCGATGTGCTTGCAAGCCCCATGCCGATTGACCGACCTCCCCCTGGTCGATCTGACCCGGGCGCGCACGTGCCACCCGTGACCTCGGCGCTGCCCGCTCCCGGGGCTCCCCCGCATCCCGTTTCCCAACGCCTCGCAGGGCCCGTCGGGAAGCCGAGCCCCCGACATGCGCCAGAGTGGGCCTCGGCGGCCCGTCCTGGGGCCCTCTTGGTCTGGGCCCGCCCTGAAGGCCTGGGGGCCAGCCCGCATGACCTGGCACTTCTCGCCTCTCTCCCTCTGTCTCCAGAGCGTCGGAGACGGCCAAGGAGGCTCCCAGGATCGCCTCGAGAAGAGAGGACTCCAAGAGAGGCCCCAGACGAGGAGCTCCAAGGGGCCCTCGGGTGGCCCTCTCCACAGAGACTCCCCCCCGAGATCGATAGCGGGCCCCTCGGCTGGCCCTCGGCAACCCTCGGTGGCCCTCTGCGCCCTCCTGCGGCTATCGGCAGCCTTCGGGCGGCCTCCATCGTCTTCCGCACTCTGCCCCCCCTCGCCCGGCACTGTCCTCCATGATCCTCACCGCGCCGGCGACCTCCTCCGAGAAGCGCTCGCGCGTGTCCTGGGAGAGCCGGCGCCGCGTGGGCGGGGGGGGGGGGGCCAGTGTCGAACCCCACCCGGAGGGGCAGCAGAATGACGAGGGCGATGAGGAGGAGGAGAACTGGCCCCCATGGTGAGATCAATCCGACTGCCGATCCGCCAACCTCGCTGTGGGGCCGCTGGGCTGCGCTGCGAAGGAATCTGCAACAAGCCAGCAACGGAATACTTCGCAACTTACGATGTAACAGCCGAACAGGTTCGCGCGACTTCTGGACACCTAGCAGCTTGGCTCTTCTGACAAACATATTCGCTGACCGATAAGCGCAGAAGGCTGAGCATGCCAGAAGCTATGCTTGAACGCGAGCCCCTGGCAGGGCTCAAATGGTTCGCGCTAGTGCCCCACCAAACTTTTTCCTCCAGCCTCCCTGTGCCCGAGGACAAGTGAACAGACCATGCTTCCTTGCTCCGAGGACCACGAGACATTGTAAATCACAAGACAGCTCTCCGCTCGGGCCACACCACCAGCCCAAATGGCGAGCACCGATCGGGCGCAGCCCCGAAGAAACTGCAAAAGGTGTGCGCCACCCATGTGGCGCGCAATGGGTTGCGTGATACATGGGTTTATTACGCCATGTGTTTCGCCACAGGTTGCGCGATCCATGGACTTCGCTATCCACCGAAAGCGCCACGGGTTGGGCCCTGCTCCATCCATGGGCTGCGCCATCCATTGCTTGCGCCTTAGGCTGCGCCATAGGTTACGCCATGAGTTGCGCGATCCTTTAGTTGTAAGTGCAATGAAGTGCGTCATGGGTTGCGCGGCCCTTGGGTTGCGCCATTGGTTGGGCCATGCATGGGTCGCGACGATTGCGGCGTTTGTTGAGCTGTAGATTGCGTCATCCGCGAGGTGCGACAAAGAATGCGCCTTAGATTGCGTATGCCACTGCCGACACTAGACAGTACTGCTATTGGTTGCGCCAACAGTTGCACACTCGGCGACTAAAAACGAACTGATACCAGACGAATGATACGCAATCATCGCCAGAGAACAAAAAAGCTGGCATTCGGTTACGCTGTGGGCTGCATAACCAGCAGCCGGGACTAAAACGGCCTGCGATTGGTTGCTAAGGAGGTTGCGCATCCAGCGCACTAGAATAGAACGGCCTACTATTGGCTGCGCCATGTGTTGCGATGCCAGTGCCCAAGCATAAAAACGGCCTGTTATTGGCTGCGACGAAGCCGTCGCACTGGCTGATAATAAAGCGGCATGCTATTCGTTGCGCCGTATGTGGCGCTACTGGCGGCCACGAATGAAACGGCCTGCCATCGGTTGCGTCATAGGCCATAGGTTGCGCACTCCGTGGCCGAAGACAAAACAATATGCTGACGGTACGACCAGCCAAGTCAGTCCAGTCCAGCCAAGTGCACCCAGCAAAACACAGGTTCGAGTTGCACCAGGAATTGCAATAGTTCCTCAGTCCCCAGGCCACGCGCCCTTGACAATGCAAAGGCGATACATCCTCGCTACCTCATGTTGTGTACAACAGGAAGCGCTGATGGAGACGCGTATCCGCATGATGGAATCTCAGAGCTGGATGTTGCTGCGGCTTGCTGCTGCTGTTTGCTGACATCCACTGCTCCCTTGCGTTTACCGATGCTGCTACTGCTTGTTGCGGCTGCTTGCTTCTGCAGGTGCTTGCTGCAGCTGGCCGTTGACTGCTCAAGCTTGTTCCCGCTGTTTCTGCTGCTGCTACTGCTGCGGCCGCTGGTGAAGGTGCCTCGGGCGAGGCACATTTGGAGACTCGTCGGATTTTTCTGGGCCGCCGTGGATCATCTTGGTGGCCAGCTGGGCCATCTTGCGATGTCTTCGCCATCTACCTCCCCTCCCCTCCCCTGCCGCCCTCACATCCACGTGAGGCGAAGACTCGGACAAAACTGGGTATAAGGAACCGGCACGTCCGCAAGATGCAGCCTGCGCCGCGGGCGTTCCAGAGCGCCCCAAGGTCCTTTGGGCTGGTTGATACATCATTCGGATCATTGTGCTTCTCCTCTTCCTCGTCTTCTCCGCCATCTAATTCTCGAGGTGTGGCATCACATCCACATCTCGACGCTCATCCCTGTCGTCCTCGTCCTTTTATTCCGGCTATTGATCCTCATAATTTTCTGTCGGACCCTCCTCGTTCTCAAACTCCTCCTCACCGAGCTCCCTGTGCACTTCTTCTGTTCCGTCCGCATCCTCCTCCTACCCGTTCCCTTCTTCCTCCTCGCCCTCCTCACCCTGCTTTTCTTCAATTTGTTCCGTTGTGATAGCCCTACTCCTCCGCAGGTGCGAATCTTACCATCACCCCGATCAAGTCGCACAGGTGGTGTTGATGAACAGAGCTAGAAGAGGGGCAGGAGGAGGAGGGGAGGAAAGAAGGAAAGAGGTGATCAGACAAACGCAACTTCTGCCTTGCAATGGGCACTGTGCACAACAACACACATTAGATAATGGCAGCTTTGTCCTTTATCAAGTTCGCCGTGCTGGCGGCCGTCATGTTGGCCACCCTCGCGTTGTCCTTGGCGGGCGCGACAAGCGTGACCCAGTGCATGCGTCACCGTCCGCCCACCGCAACTGCATGCCTAAGCGTGGCTCGTGCCGGCCTGCTGGGTACTCCTTGCTCATGTTTTGCACAAGCCCTACGAAGGCCTAAGCTTGGCCGAGATTCGATTCGTTCCCAGAAGCATCACACCACGTTCGATCCTGAATATCAGCACTGGTGTTTGTTTATTCAGAAGAATCCTGTGGTGTTGGGCCCTCGTTTTGAAGAGACAGCGCCCCGCGTCACTCATTCCTTCCTTCCTTCTGCCCCCTCCCTTCCCATCCTCCCAATCCTGTCTGCGCCCTCCACACTAATCAACCATTTTGACATACCTTCACACGCCTCGTGGCCCCTTAGGAAGCTCCACCGAGGGCCCCGGTGGCTGCGCCCGCATGGCACAACCGCGCCCCTTTCGGCACCCCTCACACACGCTTCGTGGCCCCATGGGGAACTCCACCGAAGGCCCCAATGGCTGCGCTCGCAGGGCACCACCGCACCCATGTCGGAACACCCCGCACACGCTTCGTGGCACCATAGGAAACTCCACCGACGGCTCCACTGGCTGCGCTCGCATGGCACCACCGCACCAATCATGGTACACCCTCGCACGTTTGGTGGTCCCGTAGGACGGAGTTCCACCAAAGGCCCCAGTGGCTGCGCTCGCATGGCACAACCGCGCCCATTTCGGCACACCCCTCACACACGCTTCGTGGCCCCATCGGGAACCCCACCGAGAGCCCCGCCGCGCCCATGTTGGCACACCCCGCACACGCTTCGTGGCCCCATAGGGAGCTCAAGTGAATGCACCACCTGCTGCGCCGCATGGCACCATCCCACCCATGTCGGCACAACCGTGCATGTTTGGTGGCCCCATAGGGAGTTCCTCCAAAGGACCCAGTGGCTGCGCTCGCATGGCACTGCTGCACCCATTTCGGCACACCTCTCACACGCGTTCGCATGCGCCAACCGCGCCCAGACGATATTCACACGTGCACTACTCACAACTGCATATGGTTGGATCTTTCGCCAAGCTATGTTTCCGCAGCTTGCTCGGCAATTCTGCCACTGTTCGCGAACTTCACATATGTTCTCATTGCTGATTCCCCCAACTTCTCAGCCATTCGAGTGGATGGCGGCACAAAATGCTGCCAGGTCGAACCTGCGTCCAAAAATTCAGTGCCGCTCTGGCAAGCAAGCCCCATTTGCGCCACGCGAGCGTGAGTGATCGTGCGTTGGATGAGATCGTTTCACCAGCATGGCGGCTCGAATATCGGAAAGGGCGGGCAGCAACAGCACCTGACACTTAGCAACGCAGCTCCGCAACCCCACTATAACACATCGTTCCCGCCCTCATCCCTCCCCCTCCCCCTCCCCCTCCGTGAATTTTGCGACCGGCTTGTGCTAATCTGCACATGCCGCACGGCGCGTTTTCCCCCCGACCTCGTGTACACGTCGGTGTCCCCACTGCTGACGGTCTTACCTGAACGCACGTGAGCATCCGTTGTGGTGGCGGGTTGCGTCGGAGACACGCGCGCAATGCCGTGGTGATCCTATCCGACTGCCCCCTTCCCCACACCCCCGCACACCCTCTCCCCACCTCTTCCTACGAGGAGGCCTGCTTGCACTCGCGAAGCGTCTTCTCCGCCCTGTTGCGGAGCGAGCTAACGGTGTCGACCACGGTCTAAGGGGGGGGGGGGGGCGGGCGCGGAAACAAAACGAGATGGGTCGGGGGATACAGGCGAGAGGCGGCGTATGACGACGAAAAACGAGAACAACGGTAATGACGAGGACGACGAAACCAACGCGACTGCCGACGATGACGAAAAAATGCATAAAGGGGGAACGGGGGAGACAGTACGAGAGGGAACGCAATGGCCCTTTCCTCATCACCCCCTCCACATTTATATGTTTCCCCCTCCCCTCCGCATATTAAATGTACTAATATTGCCTGCTCCTCTTCACTCGGTTCACGTTACGCTTGCCACGTCACCCGCCTCCCTTCGGGTGTTCCTCAAAGGTCAACCTTCTCGTTCTCTGGGTGTTCCTCCTGTTGTTGCTGCTGTTGCTGCTGCTGTTTCTTCTCCTCATATAATCCCATCACGGTGTTCATCTCAATGTCCGTCGTATCTTCGCCATTATCAGTTGAGTTCCCACCTCTGCCCTATCTTGCTCTCAACTTCCCTCTTCAACCGCATCTCCACCTCCTCACCCTCCCTCTCATCCCATGTTATACCCTATTTCCCCTTACCCCCATTCGTCCCCCATTCCCCCCTCCCCTCTGTCCTCCTCCTCCTCCTCCTCCTCCACCTCCACCTCGCTCTCCTCATCATCATCGCCACGGCATCTCCATGTTCATATTCAGCTCCGTCTTCACCTTCACCATCATCAGCAGCATCATGCGCACCATCCGTTGACACCCTTGCTCCCAATTTCCCTCCTCAGCCGCATCCCCACCTCAGCATCCCTCTCATCCCACTCCCTATCCCTTCCCCCATTACCCCCATCAGGCCCCATCAGCATCCCACCGTCCTCCTCCTATTCCTCTTCCTCGTATTTTTTTTCTTGGTGGAGACGTCCGGAGCAGCAGCGCGGCGCGGGGCAGTGCGCGCCCACAGACGCTCGTGGCACCGTATTGGGCCGCAGTGCGGGGGCTACGACGGCGCGCCCTGGCCCAGCCTGGCCAGGACGCGCGCCTTCAAGGTAGACAGCCGCTCGGCAGCCGGTGGCGCCGAGGAAGGGCGCAACGCGGCCGCGCGCGCCTCGCAGACCGCCTGCGCGGCAGCTGCGTCGGCGGCAGCCCGGGCCGCCGAGGCCGCGCGCGACGCGGCGGCATGCGCCCTGCACCGGGCCCCGCGCGGCCGCGGGCTCGGGCCCCGCCTCGCTGGCCAGGGGGCGGCGCGGGGCGACGCCGCCGGCGCTGCAACCGCAGCCGGAGCCGCTGGCGGCCCACGCGGAGCCCGGGCGCTCGCGCGAGCTGCCGCCTTCGGCCGCCGCGCGGCCGCATCGTCGCGCTCGAGCACGTGCCGTGGGCGGCCGTCCGGACCGAGCTCCACCCGCTCGTGGTGGTTCGCCGCGTAGGTGACGGCCCCGAGAACAGCGACCTCGTGCGCAACCGACTTCTCCGCGTCCAGGAGAAGGCGCTGGCGGCGCTGAGCTGCGACGCACAGCGGCGGGCAACCGGCAGCCGCCTTGGCCACAGCATCGGCCAACCGGTTGGCCCCCCAGTCCACCGCCGCGACCGCGACGCCGTCAGATCAACGACGAGCCGTGCCGATCACAGCGGCTGTGCCGTGTGCCGGCATCCAGGTGAGCTTGCCTGACGTCACCAGCCCAGACACGTCGCCATCAAGGACGGTGGGCAGTCGCGACCAGACTTGGGCAAGCATCTTCGTGGGCTTGGTAACTTGCACCGTGCTGGCTGTGGCCGCATACAGGATCGAGCGGCAGTCCGCGCGGATGGACGGCGGCGCGATCGTGATAGACAGCACCAGGAGGACGGCCCAGAGCTCGGCAGCTGCCGCGGTTCGAATCCACGGCGGAGCCACAGAACTGCCATGCGCGACAAGGTCCCCGTCGGCCGACACGACGACGATGGCGCAACCAGTGCGCCGCAATTCCCATTGCGGACCGTACTTCATGGACCCGTCCGTGCACCAGCAGAAGTCCGCGCGGCTTTCGTCTGGCGGGCCAAGATGCCACCGGACGGCAACCTCCTCCCGCGGCACTGGCCGCGGCAGCTGGAGGGCGAGCAAACCTCGAGCCCGGTGAAGGCAGGCATCCGGGAGCGACGAAACGAGGCGGTCGCACTCCTGGGGGGGTCGGGCCACCCTTCCGGGGGCAGCGAGGCCGCGCAAACACGGCGGTGCAGCAGGGTGCCAAGGGCAGCGCCGCAGGGCTGGCAGCGTCGATCGACGAAGCCGCTGGTGTCCGGCAGCTTCGCGATCCGGACCTGTGGCCGCTCCCCGCCCGTGGCTGCGAAAAGGAGCTGCGAGCGACAGCGCCCCGTCCACTGCGGCACCGTGCTGCAGGGCTTCCCGCGTCCTTTGAGGAGCAGCCCAATCGGGCGGTCCACGAGCAGCGTGAGCATCCCCGTCTGCGCCGGGGCTTGCACGTCGGGATCCCCGGCGATGAGAGTGGGGAACGTGGTGGCCACCCTCTGGGTGTGTCATCTGACCACAGATCTGCGCACTGCTGCGCACTGCGCACAGATCCTCTTCCTCGTAGCCATGTTGACACAATGCTAAACGTTGTGAAGGGCTATAGACGCCCGAGCACCAGCGATTTGCTGTGGATCCTCAGTAGCCAAGGGCTCAGACTTTTGAGTCATCCTCGTTCCTGTGAGAACCTGGCGGAGCACAGTTCTCGCTGTCGCCCTCGCCTTTGCATCATGTCCTGGCGATGGCGAGCGCACTGACATTAAGCACCCCGCGGCGGCAAGTCTGGTGGCCCCTACTCCGTCTTCAGCCACTGTAGGTATTGGGGATCTGACAAGCGGCAACCAAAGGTGCTCGAAAATGGAGAATACAATGCTGGTGGCCGAGCCCAAGGTGCACCCCGGCGCGATCGTGGTCGCGATGCAGGTGGTGATCAGCCTAGTCTGCAGGCTGAGCGGGATCGCCTCATGCAGCGCTTCTCCAGATGATGCAGACGTCCTACGAGCCGCGAAGACTACCGCGTTCCCCGAGGCCACTGTCCTGCCACCGCCCGCCACCGAGAGTGAGCTCGACAAGCGGGTGGCCCAGGAGCTCGCCGCCTTGGCTCAGGCCGTGGAGAGAGGCCCGAAGGCGGAGCGCATCGCCCTGCGCGAGGTGGAGATTAGTTTGGCGGCCGTTGCTCGCCGCGAAGAGGCGCTGGCCACTGCCGAGCTTTCTCGCGCCACTGCGGTGGGCGAGCTTGCGCGGGCGGCGGCGGCGCGCCGCGCCTCCCACGACGAGATGGACTCGTTCGACCCGAATGGCGCCCGCGAGGGCGCCTTCATTGAGGAACGAGCTGTCCGAGCGCGTCGCGAGCAGGAACGTGCCCAGCTCCTGCTGCGCGCGCGCGCTGCTCCTGCTGTGCGCGCTGCCAGTCGGGGCGCGAAACCTGCGGCGGCACCGCGCCCCGCGGCGCCCATGGAGATGGAAACGGAGGCCCCTGTCCTGCGCGGCCGCCAGCCCGGGCAGCCTGCCCCTGGCGAAGATGGGGGGGGGCCAGGCCCCCCACCACCCACGCCTTCCAACCTTGCCTACTTGTCCGAGCAAGAGCTATGTGATTGGCGCAGCGCGAACTGTCAGCGTTTCCAGTTCTGGGCGCAGACCAGGCAGTTCTGATTGCACCTGCATGATGAAGACATTGAGTCTGTGGTGTCTGATTTCCGCGATGGTCAGCGCGGGGGGTTGGAAGGTCTCAAGAAACGGAGAATCGATCACGGGCGCGCCCAATATGAATTGGCCGAGACGGAGACCCTCGCGCAGAACTCTGCTCACGTTATATCGGCCAAGCGCTTGCGAACTATCCGCGAGAATGCCCAGATGCCCCTCGGGCGCGTCATGGCCCAGACGCAGCCGGCAGCAGGTGCTCGCCCTAGCGCGGCGGCGGCTGGCGCCGCGCAAATTCCTGCCCCTGAAGAAGGGGATCAAGCCCCGCCCGCCGCTGCCGCTGCTGGCGCGGAGGGGCCGCGGCAGCAGGTTCAGCAGCCCGATTGGCCAGGGGGCGGAGGGCACGGGACGGGTCGATTTCCTCTGCTGCAGCGCCCATTTGGGACCAAGTGACACCAGATTTCCTGCGGGCAGTGCGCCATGAATGCGATGGTTTCTTTTTGGCAGGATATCGCCTGGGACCCTGTGACATTCCTGAGGCCAGGCCCAACGCAACTCAGAAAGGTCGGAGGCCCTCCTGGCCCCCTGCCCCCCCCCTAGATGGGGGCGCCCGCGGAGGAGTTGGAGGGCCGGTTTCCATTGGGTTTCGGGTGTTTCTGTCGCATTCGAGGCTCCGTGATTTGGGCCATGGCCCGAACAGGATTTTCTTGGAGCTTCGAACCCAGTGTTCTATCCTAGCTGTAGGCGTTGTGCACCTTGTCTTAAGCCTGGGATTCTCGGGGGTTAACGTCGGGCGGATGCGGTCGGTTGTGAATGTTCTCGGGGCCCTCTTGATGCCGTGGATGCTGTTCGGCGACTTCAACGCGCCTGCCTCTGACATGGACCTCTCGGGCTTCCCGCAGTTATCCCGGGGGGGCACGGTCGTGCCCAGTGATATTGAAATTTAACGTGCACATGGCCGTGGGTCCCTGATTGATGATGTGATCGTATCCTCAGAGTTGGGCCAAGTTATCTCAGTCTCCTCCAACAGCCCCAGCCCGTTCAAGACCCACGCCCTCCTGTCGATTAGGTTGGATCCAGATGCCCTCGATCAGCCGACGTGGAAGAGATTGCGCCCCACTCCGTTTCCTCTTTGCTGTGGACAGGATTTGCCATGGGAGCAACGTCTTCTGCCATTGTCGGTAGATGACGCACCGCCTGTGCCCGGCTACCTTGTCGCTGCTCTTCTTCCACATGCTCAGGGTCACCTGAGTAGCAACTTGGCCACTATGTACTCGCCACGGTCTAAAGCAACCGAGGCCATGTTTGGGCCCCGAGCAGTTGCCTGCGCTAGACCCGACCCGACTGATCGGTGCAGTTCGGGGGATTCCCTGGTTTTGAGACGACCACCATTGCGAGGAGAGGCCCAGCGAGCCAGAGTTTTCGGGACCCGCCGTTGGCCTTCTGGGCCCAGCTGGCTGTCGCATGGCAGAACAATCGGACATGCAAGTTGCGCGAGGTCAGGGGACCTCCGCATTCTGATCTTGCGGCGAAGGTTACCGATACCCTCCGCACTGGCGCCCCATCGAGATGCTGCTTGGCGGCAGCGACGGCTTGTTTCTCTTCCTCGGGAGTTCGAGGGGCTCGTGGAACAGTCAGGTGCTGCCGATAACGAACTTCGTTGTGCTTGGTCTGTCGCCCGCGCAAGATCCCGCAAGCAGGTGTTGCCGCGGCTCTCGAGAATGTCGCCCCAGGGGGCTGAGAAAAGTCCATGCGTGGCTGAACTGCGACTTCGGAGACGCCCCCCAGCCCCTGGTCTCACCGAGTGGAGTTCGTCAGCTCCCAGAAGCCATGATAGGGCACCGCCGCGGTTGTTGGTCGAAGGTTTGGGGCCCCCACTCTGCCCAGGCGCAGCTTCCTGGAGTCCTCGACGCCCCTAGGCCACTGGGCGTGGAAAGCGCCCGCGGGTTGGACCCCCTTTTCTTCGGCCCTCGATGTGCAAAGAGGCGCCCGTTGATTTTCTGCTAGCGCTGCCGTGGGCGCTGACCACTCGGCCCCTCGGTCCCTGGTTGACCTCCCGCGTTCCGCCGCCGCGGGCGTCGCGAACATCCGCAACCAGTGCGAAGCTGAAATGCTGTGCCCCCCTCCTCCCCCCTCTCCCCCCGCCCCCAGTGATTGCGAGCGCGGTGGCCCTGCTGCCGAAAAATGCAGATCGTGACCGCCCTGTCTGTAAACGCCCCGCGGTTTACCGAGCCCAGTGCAGAGCGAGGGGTTGTGATCTTCACGCTTGGGCCCATGATCGGTAAAACTTTAGGGGGCGCCGTTGCCCAAGGCTCAAGCGCACTGCAGGTTGTGCTGCTTCGCGAGCTAGGGCACGAGGTCGCCCGCGTGCTCGGCCTCTGCTCTGTCGGTGCGCATCGGGGCCGCACTCGCTCTGTTCGACCCAGCCGAGCGGCATAAGCTGGTTGAGCTGGCGGTCAAGATGAAACACCCACCCCGCCTCCTCAACCTGGGCATCTTGGTCCAGCGTTCTCCTCGTGAGTTAGAGGTTTGAAAAGGTGTTCATGATCTGATTCGTGGTGGGAATGGATCCCCGGCTGGGTGTAAGCAGAGCATGACATGTGGTGGGTTAAAATGTCCGCCTATGCTATTTGGGATGTTGCCCACGCTCTCTACTGCCCTGCCAATGTTAAGGCGCAGGTTGGCGATGCCACCCGATAGATGCAAGGTTCTGACGAACGACATGCTAGCCAGACTCGTGCCGCCAGCAGTTCACCTCTCGCATCAGCTGCAAGGCATTGGCTGCACGCTCTCTTCGAAGTCAGCCTTGGCATGCCGAAGTGTGTCCCTAAGTCGGCGTATCGCTGGACTTTTTCCATCCACGGGTCTCCCGATGAAGTTGCAGGATGCTGCGCGAGATCCAGGGGTCATGACTTCTGCGTGCAAACGAAGGGCTACTGCTAAACTTGTGCAACGACGAAGTCTGGCCTCCAAGAAGGCTAAAAAGTGGCGTTCCTAAGCAACACCGCGGTCGCTGCGAAGAAGCTGCACAAGCCTGGGACCCTTGCGGTTGGGTCTTGGAGCCACCAAGTGCTGGGCCTAACGAGTGGCCAAATCCAATCGATGAAAGCCCACGGGGCAATGTGCTCTGGGCATTGGGCACCTGGGGCCTGCGCGTCTTGGGTCCTTGGCTGGATCAGTCTCGCCAGTGGCGACCCCCAGTTTAGGCTTCGGTATGGACAACTCGCTGCTTTTTACAATGTGCGGGGGGATCTGAATCACCATGAAAGAATGCAGGCGGTCCAATGCTGGGCCTTGTCAGTTCGTACCGTCCAGCCCCGCCCTCACCGATGTGTTGTTGAAAGTCCAAGAGCCTATGGCGGCCACTATCGCTGTCCTCCTCGACTTGGGGGTTGACCCAAAGAGCCCTGTGTACTGGATCTCCCCCAGCGGTGTGGTGATGAGGCTCCACGACCGTGATTTTCAGCACGCGCCTTGTGGGTGAACCTCCAAAGGATCTGCGGCACTAGGTCGTGGAGCACGGCCTCCAAGCATCATGCAGGAGGAGGGTTGGAAGGTGTAGTCGATGTTACTTTTCCCCGTCGGCTTTTGAAAAACTGGAAAAGGAAGGGGCCTTTGAGGCCGCTGGGATGGTCCGAAACACTTTACTGCTGGATGTTTGACGGAAGACCAGTTTGGGTACGACTCCGCGACAAGCGGTCGGTGCCCTAAATGTGGGCTTGCGCCCGGGACTGCTGCCCACCGTTTTTGGAAATGCCGTTGCAGCAATGGCATCAATGCCGGAGCGATCGTGCGATCGGACTCGTTGATTGCTGAGGCCCTCCACCCCCGCGCTCCCCGCTCGTTTTGGCACCGTGGCTTGCCATCCCTCCAGGACGCCGTTGGGCACATCCCAGTTCCTGTGGATTGGGTCTGGGAACGGGGGCGATTGCGGGATGATGCCCAAACCCGAGGGGGAATCTCGGGGGTGGATGGCTCTGGTTGTTGAGACAGGAAAGATTGGAGGCTGCGTCGCTGTGGATGGCCGATCGTTCACTAAGGTGCGGACCACTTGTTTGATGACGTAGTTTGCGGCACGTTACCGACTAAGGTTCAAACAGCTGGCAGAGCGACACTATATGCACTTATCCACTTACTTGCCCGTTCGTATGGCCCTGTCCTGGTCTATTGTGATTGTCTGGCGATGGTGAAAGGAGCCCGTAAGCCCATCAAGCGTAAACAGAAATCGTCAATGTTGGACCCCTGGAAGATCTACCATGATACCCTCGGGGCCCGTGATGGACCTGTGGAATGTTCGATGGACGACAGGTCACCCCACTCAACCCCAGGCCTAAGGCATGTGTCTCACCGAAGCTGAACTACATCTAAACACCAGCGTTGGTTCTTTCGCGAATCAGGCTGCCGAGCGTGGCCAGGTGTCAGATGAAGCGGAGCACCGCACGGTGTTGGCCGATGAGATGGCCTTCAGGGTCCTGAGTCGTCTCTTCGCGGTCCAGCGGGAATGTTGTTTTCGAGCCCCGTGCGAATGTCAAGCCCCGTTGCCTGATCCGCTCGGTAGATGCCCGTCTGAACCGTCTCAGTGATATGAGTCACTGCTGTGTGGTCAAAGCGTGCACTCTGCGATGTAAGCATTGTTGCAATAATTTTAGTCGGCGAGGTCGGCTGGCGGATTTCTGGCCTGGGCACTGTAGGCCTCGGTCCGAGCTCGCCCGACGAACTCAAGCCTCCCCCGCGACCATTTGTCGACCCGCGCGTGGACGTTGAGGTGCCTGACCCAAATGATTTGGGGCCTCTTGAGGGCGGAGAGGGTGGGGGGACGGATCATCCGCTTGCTGAGCAGTGCAACCCGTCGCATCAACTTGCCTCCATCCGAGGGGTCTTGTTTTGTGGAGCCTGTGGGCGGCACTGTGTGAAGTTTTCTCAGACTTTGCGTCTCGTGTGCGCCCCCCCCACACGAAAGCTGGGAAGGATGTGCTGAGCAGGTTGAGCCGAGGTCTGCCGAGTAAGTCTGGTGGGGCTTTCCCTGACCTCTCAACTTGTTATCGTGCCCCGCCATGCAGCAGGTCACCACGAACAGCCGGTAAAGGTAAAGGTTCTCCTCCTCCTCCCTCCTCCTCCACCTACCTCCCTCCGTTTCCTCCCCCCTCCTCATCCTTCTCCACGCTTCCTCCCCTTCCCCGCCCCCTCCCTCGTTCCCCTCCCGTCCCCGCCTGCTCCTGCTGCCGCCGCCGCGGCCGTGGCGCCTCCTGCTTCTTTTCCAGCTCCGCCTGGCTCTCGGCCTGTCTCCGCACCTCGACGTCGAGCCTTTTCGTGGGCAGACGACGACGACGACAACAACTGACGAGCGCTGAGCGAACACGGCGACGCTGAGCGAAGAGCGACGGCGACGACGGCGGCGACGGCGGCGACGCCGAAGGCGAGCAGTGGGACAGGCGGACCAAGACGATGAGGTTGGGGACGCTGGAACACGAGAATGATACAGTGGACGAAGGCGAGGACAAGGGGAGGCGGATGAGGGTGAGGACACGGACAAGAGTGACCCCGAGGAAGAGTTGTTATATAGATATGCGGATTCGTGGGATCAGCCAGCGCAGAACGGGTGCACAATTCTTGCTACGTTGCGTGTTTCGGAAGGGCAGGCGCAATTATTCCCTGCATGTCATGTGGGGTTCTGGTTATCCCCCCACCCGTGTCGCACCCGCGTTTCCAACATTACCCCATTCACCTCCTTGCCGCTCGTACACTCATCGCACACATGCTCTCCTGCGTGACACACACGCGTACACACATCATACCCACAAACTGGCAGCGGACACGCACACACATTACAACACTAGTGTACACCTGGTGTGCTCCGTGCATCATACATGCATACGTAGGCAACACAGACACGGCAGTCGCATGAAGCAGACATCCACACACAGCCACACAAACACCATACACAATAAACAAAGCACGTAGGCGCGGATCTCGTCACTCGCAGTACACATACTATACACTTCCACCTACAACCGTATACACATACTACACCTGCACCATACGTGCTGACGCGTACCTAGTCACCCACATGACACGCGCACCCAACAACACAGAGGCGTAGGAGTCCCCGGACGTGGCAGGCGTGACACCTTCTCGACACAATGGGGGGTGCGCTCGGGGTGGTCTCATCGAGGTTGTTTGTCTGTCTCAGGGTCGCGGGGCGCGGCAGGCGTGGCAACTTCTCAACACAACAGGGGGTGCGCAGGGGTGGTCCCTCACCGCTGTCCCTGTCCTTCTCAGGGTCGCGGGGCGTGGTGCGCGTGGCAATTTTTCCACACCGCAAAGAAGGGGTGCGCAAGGGGGTGGTCCCCCGCCGCGGTCTCTATCAATCTCAGGGTCGCAGGGCGTGGCAAACGTGGCACTTTCTCCACGCGGCAGGGGGTGCGCAGGGGGTGGTCCCTCACGGCGGTCTGTATCTGCCTCAGGGTCGCGGGGCGTGGTCGGCGTGACACTTTTCCACACCGCGGCGGGTGCGCAGGTGGCAGGTTTCGTCATGAGTTCTCGACCTCATGCGTCGCATTCCATCAGTTGCACTGCGGGGGTTTGCGTATAATCCAAATATGTGAACACCTTGGCCCAAGCGCGCCGGAGACCCCTCTCGAAGGCCGCAAGTGGTTGTCACGCAGGCGCCCCAGCCATGCCGCCCAAACTTGCTACGGGCGAGCCGCCACCTCCGTGCTCCACGCCCCCCCCCCAAAAAAAGCACTGGTTCAGATAAGCGGCGAGGTCATTAAGTCTGGCAGGCTTGCGCCGCTGCTCTGACGCGACGGTGTTGTCCACATTTCAGGAGCAGCGCTGGCGCCGAGCGTGCGTGCCAATCAAGGATAATATCAGCATGGTATACGCGGACCTCTACATGCTCGGCAGGAGCCAGGACTTCTGCGTCGACGAATTCAACTGCAGGGGGAGCGGCACATTGTTGGGCAAATTCCAATCGTCGCTCCCTTTGGCGATTTCTTCCAACTCACCCTGTTGAAACCTGTAGGGTTCATCAGGCACGTCAACGAGAAAGACAAGAATGATAACCCCAAGTTGGATCCACCTCCGAACGTGGAAGTGCAACCCGCCATTTAAGTGTTCGGCAAAATGTCGAGCTGAAGTGCACCTAGCGATTCAAGCCAGGCGACCCGCTGATCGAGTTCCTTGCCTGCATGCGCTTCGCACGACGGATTGCAGATAATGTCTGGGCAGCCATTCACGCTCGGGTCGCCACCCATTGCGCGACCAGAGTGCGGGGCCCGAGGCATGACGAGGAACAGTTTACGACCAGAGTCGGAATGGCCTTGTACTGGAGCGCACTGTGATGATGGATATCTCGGAAGCGCATGGTCGACTCTCGCGCCACGGGCGTGCCGCTGGCCTTCCTGCAGTCAAAGGACGAGGCGGTCCTGGGCGACGCGCAGCGGGAGGAAAACGAAATTGCGAAACGGCAGCTCAACGTGCCGAACCCGGGCGATTTGGGGCACATGTGCCGAGTTGTACAAAAATCTGAGCGCGTGGACGTGCAGGTGGGATTTACTGCCAAGGCGTCCCAGCGCATGGGCTGGCCCAGGAGCAGAGAGCAACCATCGTGAGCTTCGTGCGCAACAAGCAGGACCAGGACAGGTACGACCCGTGCGCTCCACAAGAGGCCTTCTACCCACGCTCCCTGCCTGCCTGCCAGTGTCTGGATGCAGGTGGGCACGTCCCGCAAGCAGACGCCGGACGTGGTCGACACCCCCATCAACTCCTTCGGAACCCAGGAACAGAAGGCGAACGGCCTCTTCTGCTTCCCGCCGGTGGCGGCGAACTTCAACTGGCGCAACGCCGGCAACGAACACAGGGTTCGCAGGAGACACGCGCTCAGGCACGGGCGCTCTCATACGACTACCGCATGACAGGGCCAGACGATGCGCGCCAGGGTGACCATCGATTGCGCGCGAGAACTGACAGACCCGAGTACAGAGCGCAGAACTGGTGGCTGCATCTGTACGCGATGGTCAACAAAGCTACTTGTATGGATGATCTGTTTCTTTTTCGACGACCGCCAATGGTGGCCCTGCATCTTGCAGAAGGGTTCGCCTCCGTCCGTGTTGAGAGCCAGCAAGAAGTTCGACGAGAGGATGGCCAAGGAGGCACGAGGATCGTTGATTTTGCCTTGGAACGCAAATGGATCCCGCCGGTGGCGTAAGGCCGCTGACATGCACTGGACCACAGGCGCCTACAATGGTAGTGGGGGCGACTGACCGCATCGACTGTGCGTTGCCCGTGCCGCTCCTTGACGAGTTCAGAATGCCGACCCAGCTCATGTCTTCGTGCCACTCTTTGCCCAGAGATTTTCCATCAAAGGCCACTACGACTGGCTGCGTACCGACGGTCTATGTTTGCGTGTCGTTTCCTTGCGCGCGCAGCTTAGAAACTTTCCGTCGATACGCAGAAACTGCTACAGAAATTATCCTGGCAAAGGACCCGACCAATATGCAATTGTAGGTACCGCGTTGTGGGTACCGCTTCCAATGGAGCTCCCTATGGGGCACCAAACCGTGTGAGGGGTGTGCCGAAATGGGCGTCGGGCGCACACGGACCCTACCACTGGGGCCCTCGGTGGAGCTCCCTATGGGGCCACGAACCGTGTGAGGGGTGTGCCGAAATGGGCGTCGGGCGCATGCGGACCCTGCCGCTGGGGCCCTCGGTGGAGCTCCCTTTGGGGCAACGAGCCCCGTGAGGGGTGTGCCGAAATGGGCGTCGGGCGCATGCGGACCCTGCCGCTGGGGCCCTCGGTGGAGCTCCCTTTGGGGCCACGAACCCCGTGAGGGGTGTGCCGAAATGGGCGTCGGGCGCATGCGGACCCTGCCGCTGGGGCCCTCGGTGGAGCTCTCTATGGGGTCGCGAACCGTGTGAAGGGTGCGCCGAAATGAGCGTCTGGCGCATGCGGACCCTGCCGCTGGGGCCCTCGGTGGAGCTCCCTATGGGGCACCAAACCGTGTGAGGGGTGTGCCGAAATGGGCGTCGGGCGCATGCGGACCCTGCCGCTGGGGCCCTCGGTGGAGCTCCCTATGGGGCCACGAACCGTGTGAGGGGTGTGCCGAAATGGGCGTCAGGCGCATGCGGACCCTGCCGCTGAGGCCCTCGGTGGAGCTCCTTATGGGGCCACGAGCCGTGTGAGGGGTGTGCCGAAATGGGCGTCGGGCGCATGCGGACCCTGCCTCTGGGGTGGAGCTCCCCATGGGGCCACGAAGCGTGTGAGGGGTATGCCGAAATGGGCGTCGGGCGCATGCGGACCCTGCCGCTGGGGCCCTCGGTGGAGCTCCCTATGAGGCCACGAGCCGTGGTGTGCAAAAATGTGCGTCGGGCGCATGCGGACCTGCCGCTGGGGCCCTTGGTGGAGCTCCCTATGGGGCCACGAACCGTGTGAGAGATGTGCCGAAATGGGCGTCGGGCGCATGCGGACCCTGCCACCGGGGCCTTCGGTGGAGCCCCCTATGGGGCCACGAACCGTGTGAGGAGTGTGCCGAAATGGGCGTCGGGCGCATGCGGACCCTGCCACTGTGGCACTTCGGTGGAGCTCCCTATGGGGCTACGAACCCCGTCAAGGGGGTGCCGAAATGGTTGACATGCGGAGGGCAGGGGCAGGAATGGGAGGAGGGGGAAGGGGCAGCGGGAGTGAGGAACGCGGGGCGCTGTCTCTTCAAAACGAGGACCCAACAACACAGGTTGGTTGGGAAAAAACAGCCGACCTGAACGAGAGAAGGATGGAGGGAGGGAGAGGCGAGGGAGAAAATAGCGAGAGCGGGGGGTCGATCGTCTGCGTATGGGGTGATGCTCTGACGGGTACTGACACTGGTGCCGAAACTATCGCGGCACAGGGGCTCGATTTGCACACAGTTCCACAATTGATACCCTGGCTAACCGCGACGTGGCAACGTCTCGCAATCCATGGTTGCTAGCCGCCACCCCAGGGAACGGCCCTCCGTAACCATCTCGCATCTTGCCCCGCTGGAGGAAAGATGGTCAAAAGGAGGAAAGAGGTTAAAACAACTGTGCGTTCGGTGACAATCTGAGCAACATTGTCGTTGTACGTCCAGAAAAAACTGCGCAGATGGGGCGTGATACAATGATACTTAAAACATGTAAGGTTCCTCGGCAGCGCAATTGTCACACGCGTGCAAATCTGGGGCGAACGCAGCGAAGAGGACAGGCTTGCCACATTCGCTGCGAGGCTGAATCCCGACTCGCCGAACACCGCTTTGCAGAAATGGAGGTCCTACTCGAGCGCTTCAGACTCAATCGCATTCCTCCTGGAGTCCGTTCGTTTATCCTCGAGGTCCAGTGGGGTAACGTTTTCTGCCCGTGGGCTCTGGGAATGGTCCGTAATAGCGTAATAAGGTTTTTAAATTCCAGGGGCGCCGAACGTGACGTCACCAGCGAGGGGTCAGCCGGGCGATCTTGCCATCGCTCGGACGTCCATTCCCTGTGCATTTTACGGTTTCGCGCGTGTTTTTGTTGCTGGATGGTCCAGGATGGTCCTCGATGGTTCTCGCCGAGAAACAAATGCACACGTCCGAGCGATGCCAGGCGATGGCCGTTTCGCCAAACAGCAACAACAGAAACCTTGGAAGTGTGCACGGCATCAACCGCACCCCGTCGAACCTCCTGTAATCCCGACGACCGGGCGGGGTCCACCTGTGCGGCACACGCATGGAAGCGCCCGCCGACGGTGATGGCGAGCCCAGCGATGCCATGCAGCAAAGCCGTTGCGGGCCACTTATGGCCCTGGAGGTGCTTCAGGTTGGCCCCCTCGGAATTGTTTAACAGGCTGGGGCCGCTCGCCGCGGTGATGAAGCACAGCTTGGTCACGCGCTCGTTCAGGGCAGCTGTACGCGACCCTGCCCTGTGCTAGATCGGCTCCGCGTGCAGCGCCCTATTCTTGATGGCGCCGACGTTGCGGTCTTCATGCTCTTTCACGATGTGCTCTTCATGCTCTTTCATGATGCCAGCTGGAAGTGCTGCTGCAGGCGCGTGCGAACCTGTGCTCTTCTGCGGGCATGGCAGAACGGGCGAAGTCCATGACTGCGGGAGAGGGCTGGCGCACGTCACGCACAGCACCGCCGTCCTTTTCAAGGTCCAGCTCGCACGTGGGCATGGCCGGGGGGGCGTCGGCGCCTGGGGCGCCAACGGCCACGTCGTCGGTCGCTGCGGCCCTGTGCGGGGCATCAGGATCGCCATCGGCGCCAGCGGCCACGCCGTCGGTCACCGCGGCATTGATCTCAGGGCCAGGGGCGCCCATCGTCGTGGTGGTAGTGGTCGTGGTCGTGGACGTGGTCATGGAAGTGGTCTTGGTCGTAGTCGTCGTCGTTGTCATCGTCGTCGTCGTCGTCGTCGTGTCGTCGTCGACGTCGTCGTGGCCCTCGCAGTCGCTGTCGGGCCCCCCCACGGCCGCGCCGTCGGTCGCCGCACCTGCGGACGCGCGCAGCTCGCCCGCGGCTCTCTCTGGAGGTCTTCGGTCGGCGGCGAGCTGGGGTGCTGCAAGCGCGGCGGCGCGCGCCGCGGCGCTGTACACCGGCGGCGGGACGGCGGCGGGCGCGGCGGCGGCGAGCACCCGCAGCGGCTGCAGCAGCGGGGCGAGCGCGGTCGGGTCGGCGACGCGCGACAGCAAGGCCGAGAGGTCCCGCAGTGTAACCTCGATGCTGCCAGCGGCTGGGGCCACGGGTGTGGCTCCTCTTGGGCCGAGAGCCACGGCTGCTTCAGCATCCTGTCGGCGAGCCTCGGCAAGCTGTTCTTCCAGCTTGCCAGATGCACCACGGAGGCGTTTCAGCTTGCTGCATGATCTCTGCCACGAACGCGAGATTCTCCTGTTGAAGGCCTCTAGCGGCGACGACCTGCCGAGTCACATTCAACACGTCTTTGTTGGCGGTGGCGGTCTGCTGAAAGTGCAAGCCTTCCTTGATGCGCATGCGCTTGTGGCGAAGCCTGTCCCGAGACGACGCCGAAATTGCCCTGGCGGCCTGGTCGAACACAGCCTCATCCATCACGAGCCATGCCAGCTGCTTTTCGGGTTGGATAGCACGGCCGTCGTCGTCGTCGTCGTCGTCGTCGTCGTCGTGGCACTCGTCGTCGTCGTCGACGTCGTCGTGGCCCTCGTCGTCGTCGGCGCTCCTGGGTCCCACGGAGTCTGAGCGGTTCGCCCTGCTGCTGCTGGAACTCGACTTGCCCCATGCGCGGCCAGCACCTATCGCTTCTCGAGGCGGCTGATGCTGCCACCCGCTGGAAGCGCAGCGACTTGGGTCTGTAGGCTCGGCGCCAGTGCATGGCGCACCGAGATCGATTCTGATGTCCCCCCATTGTGGTGACCGTGCAGCAGATGGAGAAGGAAAACGGTCACCGACCTTGGCTTTCGATACGGGCCAAAACCGCAGCGCAGCAAGGGTACGAAAGCAGGTAATTAGGGGCCGTCCCCCCCCATTGCCGCAAGAAACTCGCGGCCCTGGGCCTCTCGCTTACGGACTTTGAACCAAAATAGCAACGGCCTCGATCGTCCCCTCCCCCCGCGGGGCCCCTCCTCCCCCCTGTCCCTCCCCCCTCCTCTCCTCCTGCCCTCGATCGTCGATCCTCCACCCTCCCCCAACGTGTCGGTCTCACCCGGTGCGGGCGAGCACGAGGGCCCGAGAGGCCTGCGAACGGAATCACCACACCGGCCCTGGGCAGCCCCGCGCCGCCAGAGGGTCGCGGAGGGGGGGGGGAGCGAGAGGTGTGCAGACCCCAGCGAGCGCGCAGGCGGAGGCGACCCTCTCCTCGCCCCCACCCCTCCCTCCTCTTCTCCTCTCGTCCCCTCCTCCCCCCAGCCCCCCGCCGGGCCTGTCCCCTGGGCCGCGAGGGAGGCATCGTCAGGCGGAAAGCCAGCCTCCGTGGGGACCCGCCTGGCTCTCCCGTCCTTTGACATGCTACCACGTGGTGGTTCCCAGCGGATTCCTCCGAACGCCCCCCAGCCCCCCGCGCGAAGCGGCGGCGCTGCCGTCGCAGGCCGCCCAGCTCGGACAGCGCCTCGTCCATGCCCGTCTGGAGCCTGGAGGACCCGCGGGGCGGGTCGAGGTGGCGGCGTTGAGGGCGGCGAGGTGGCGAGGGCGGCGAGGGCGGCGGCGAGGGTGGGGGGAGGCGGACGGCACCGACAGGGGGGGGGCGCTGGGCTCCAGGAGGGAGCGGACTTATATGGTCTGACGTGATGTGGACTCGGGGAGGGAAGGAAAAGAAGAGGAGAGGAGGAGGAGGAGGAGGAGGATGGGGAAGGAGGAGGTGGAGGAGGAGGAGGAATTGTTCGTGTACATGTCAATACGCCACGGGTACGAGTACATACCGTACCTGTCCAAACCAAGAGAGGATGGGCATACACAGTAAAAGATAGCCACATCACAGTGGCTTACTTATTCGGCATCGAGCAGTGATGATTCCAGCTACTTATTCTCGTCTGGACATCGTATTAAACATGGAAACGCGCGAGATCCCACACCAGCATCTACATATCCCATACCAGCATCTACAGAAACTGGGCGGAGAGGCCTCACATTATTCCATTATACAGACGCGCCGACTACCGACGAGACGGACAACCCTTACTACAAGACAACGCTACCGACCACAGCATGCGCCGTGAAGTAATCGTCCACCAATCATGAGACAAGACCAGCGACTGCATGATCACAACAAAATACGTCTGAGACAACACAACTACAACAAAGACGGTACTGACAAATACCTAAACGGGACGCTTTGCAATCTATGCTACCAGCGGCACGGGAAGTGCAACGATTCCTCCATCGACGAAAACAGTGGGATCCACCCCAGGTATCAATCCGGCGTTACCAGCACGCTCCTCAGTTCCATGGCCAAGTCAGAAAACAGTAGCATCACAGAACCGAGCTACTCTCACTCACCAACCTACTGGCAGACGTACTTCATACATCAGGCGCAGAAGCACTACTTCCACCGTGGGCTACATCGATTATTGGCAAGCCCCATAAACACATTCATCACCGACAACTGACGAGCAGCCCGACTAGGCGGAGCTACAAGGCGTTGACCACCATACCGCGGACTTGCTCAACAAATGGACAGGCACAATGAGAGAACCATTGCTACAAATACCACGGCACCCACGACCACCTTCAACACATGTTGAACTCCAGTCACCAACGCCAGACAACCAAGCTTGGCCTCAAGTTATTGAGGGACTTACGCCTATACATGGAACCAACCTGCACCCACACGCACATGCGACCAGTAACCAGGAACAGCGACACAACCAAGCCCACACCGACAGTGCTAATACCCGACCCACGCGGTACTACCTCCGTGATCAGGCCACCGAAAATCATACGTACGACGATGCTCAGAATGCCGACCGATGCCGGCGCCGACAACCCGCACTACGAGTGAATCCAGGGGCTGCTAGAACAACGAATGCAAGCAAGAAACATAGAATAATGCGACTGCGACCACGAGGACAGGTTCCGCACGCACTGCACCGACCACCTACTACCCACTCCACGGCAGCAAGATGTACCACATCTCGACGTCAGACTTCAGAGAGACCACCAGCAAGCAAAGCCACCACCACCACCTACACATGCACCTACACCACTGCCCAAGGCCAAGATGCCAACGCCAATCGCACCCCCAACACAATCACGTCAGCTTACCATTATCCGCAACCCTTGGGGCGACGCAGCAATGCGCAACCCAATTGCCGACTCGGAAGAAGATGAACAATAAACAGACAACAGCGAGAACTACAAGCACACTCAGAAGCCTTTCTTTCTCACACGACTTCCTCCGCATGAGAGCCACGACACGCACTGCCCAGGAGGCTGGAGAGCACACAGTCCCAAAAACAGAATTGAATTGGACGACCACGACGAAGACAAGTGGCCCTACACCGTATACTACCACTCAACAACCAATACTTACAGCTACCAGTTCCTAAACGACCACCTACTTCTACCTGGATGGCACAGGTACCTCGACAAGTACAACAACGAATCGCTCGTCCACAACAACCTCCAACAATCCCTTCCCAACCCACCGCTTAGACCCGATCCACATGCGACTTCACTCTGCATTCGGGCTGCCACCGACCGAGCAGACAAGATACTTAATGCTCAGCGACGCAACGCCGGCAATCGTCGACCTGCCTCCATGGAGGCCGCGACCGCACGACCAACCATGACCTCCACTAGGAAGCTACATGAACGACTTCGCGAACCACTACAGGCTCAACGAGGACATTATGGCAATCGATCATTCCAACTGGCACTTTGGCTCCCTAATGCAGGGCCCGACTCCACGGATGCACGAAGTGGTTAAGCAGGCCAAATTCACGGTCTCACAATGGCTATGCTCATGTCACGACTACGGACACACCATGAAGTACGACTGGGCCGTTCGCATTAACGATACAACACTAATACTGCAGCAAATATGCAACACAACCTACGAACCTGACGACGATCACATCATCCCACAACCACAATCAAACTCCTACTCCAGCGACGGCACCACTAACGACGCACCACAACTTCACAGCACCACCCAGCCAGCACCAACGACCAACCAGCAGGCATCAACCAGCAATCATCAGCCAGCCAACAACAACCAGCCACTGATACACCATCCGCCAGCCTAAGATCCTGTTTCTGGGGTTGGAGTGGCTACGGGCATGGTCTTTACGCAGAGGGGGGAGGGGAGATCGGGGAGGGTGAACGACTGTCAGCACACTTCAGTATACAATTACCAAAATCTTCTTACGTGTTGCTTCACTATCGCCTCACGTATTGCCTCTACGCCGTCACGCACCAACTACCTCACGTGTACCTTAGCATTGGGTTCCACATTATAGTTCCCCAGTGCAGCCAGACATGCCGCGCAAGCTACAGGCCAGCCAAGCTATCTATTGCTCATGCTATGATGCTGGGGCCTCTCGCCTCTACATACATCTCTCACTAGCTTGCTGCACTATCTCTGACGCAAGATGACACGACACACTAGCGCGCACAAGCCTCATACGCCCACTGTGCACAGCCAGGCAAAGATGGCCTATCAGCGCTACGAGGCTCTTACGCAGTGTCTACTCAAGCCCCTTAGTTCACACAGTACATTCCAAAGCGCCCTTTTACATGGTGTGGCCCCACAACTGAGTCCGACAATACCCTTCTCTATGCATTATGCTAGTACGGTGCATTTTACCGACGCAGCCTCGACCACCCCGTACTCCACACCTTGGTTGCGATTACCTCTTGCCAGCTTGAGGCTGGCCAGCTCCTTTGCGAGCACAATCACTTCTTCTTGAGGTGGGTGGATGGGGTTGGGCGGGATGTGGTGCGAAGGGTGTCCAAGCTCATTCATATTCCGGGACCCCCTGACTCGAAGGGAGCGGCCCCACTTGATCGCTCGTCCACAGGCATTGGACCTACCAGAGGGCAAGGCCACCACGTCGAATTCACAGGCCAGCCTTTCACAGTGCCTGCCTTCTGAATTTCGGAGTGGGGGCTGGGTATTCGAGGAGTGTGAGAGGAGGATGGGATACCATGGTAACACCAGGCACTGCAGCCTCTACCGCCTGGCGGGCGCATACTCTATGGCCCTATACTGTATCTTGCTGCGCAACTGTGCCCGCTGCGCCCGCCAAATTAAGTTGTTTGTCGCTCCGCTCAGTCGGCGGTTTCTGCTTTAGAACGCGCCAAGCTTCCGCTTCACGCCTGGGCAGTGTCAAAAGGAGGTTTAAAAAAAGAGGAGGCGCAGGAGGAGGAGGAGGAGGGAGGAGGGAGGGGGAGGGAGGAGCAGGAGAGAGGAGTAGGAGGGAGGAGGAGGAGGAGGAGGAGGAGGAGGAAGAGGAGAAGCAGGAGCAGGAGGAGGAGGAGGAAGGGGAGGGAGGAGGAGCGAGGAGAGAGGAGGGCCATATGCTGGAGCCATCCTCCGCATTCGTCCGCGCGCGCCGCGCGACTGGCGGGCCGGCCCCAGCCCCCCAACCGCGGCGGCGGTCAGGGGGCGCTGTCATGGCATCGGGGGGCTGCCCAACGTCAGGGCGGCCCTATCCACAACATACGATTCTACGAAACAAAGTTCCATGGCGCTACAATCGCACGCCGTCTCGCCCGTTAACGGCGTCGCAATGTAGGCGAGGCGTGGGTGTGGTCTGGCAAGTACGGCAACAAGTGCGCCAGGAAGGCCGATCTTACGACGGCGGACTGCATTAAGGTGAAGCCCTACGCTCGGCACGCAGTGGCAGAAGACAGGGGGCCCTGACTGCAGCTTCCTCTCGTGTTTGAGGTCAAGCACGTCGTCATAGAGGTACCGGCCCGATACATGTACGACTTTCAGTGCGACAGTGGCAGCAACCGCGAGCACGACCAGTACGGTCAGGAATGCAACCACAACTGGGGCGCATACTACTACGAGATTGGTTCGCCCGTACGGACGTTCTACGGGAGCCAGCCCGATGAGCTTCGAGGGCCACCAGCTGAGCTACGACAACAAGAAACACAGCTTCGAGAGCCATCAGGGGAGGAAGAGCGTGACTCGCCCTCGCTGGTCTCATCTCCCTAAGGTTCTTCCTCCTCCCCTCCTCGCGGCAACTAGAAGGTGGAGTGCTACGACCTGGCAGCTGACGACTCCAACTTGGCCCGCGAGGAGGCGAAGGAGGCAGACGAGGAGGACTACGAGGAGCACGGTCTCAATGAAGAGACCGATGACTTCGCGACGGCCGCGCTGGCGCGCGAGGCTTACCTCGCCAGGCGCCGCGCCATTGCAAGCCGCGCCTACTGGCTGCGAAGACCCCCTGCTGAGCTACGAGGGCCACCGGCTGAGCTACGAGAGCCACCAGCAGAGCTACGAGAGCCACGGGCTGAGCTACCAGGACCAAGCGCTGAGCTACGCGAGCCACCAGCAGGGCTACGAGGAGCACCAGCCGAGCTCCGAGGACCGCCAGCTGAGCTACGAGAGCCACAGGGACGAACTACGAGGGCCACAACCTGAGCCACGAGGGCCCCAAGCAGAGCTGGGAGAGCCCCCCGCAGAGCTAGCAGGGCGACGTGCTGAACGGCAGAGGCCACCGGCAGAGCTTCGAGAGCCACCAGCTCAGCTACGAGGACCACAAGCTGAGCTACGAGACCCCCCAGCCGAACTACCAGAGACGCCAAGTGAGCTACGAAGGCCACGGACAGGGCTCTGTGCCCCCTCCCCCCCCCGCAGAGTCTCGAGGGCCACCAGCTGAGATAGCAGGATCACCTGCTGAGCTGCAAGAGCTACCAGCTTAGCTGCGGGGTCCACCTCCTGGGCTACGAGGACCACAGGCTGGACTACAAGGGCCGCAAGCAGGGCTACGAGGACCACCTGCTGAGCTACAAGAGAGCCACTAGCGAATCTACGGGCGCCACCAGCCTTGCTACGAGGGCCACAGGCTGAGCTACGAGAGCTACAAGGACGACGAGCTGAACTGAAAGGCCAACGACCAGAACTTCGAGACCCACCAGCCCATCTACGAGGGCCACATGCTGAGCTACGAGGACCACAACCTGAGCTGGGCGGGCCACCAGCAGAACTGCGAGTCCCCCTTTCCCGCAGGGCTACCGGGACGACGGGATGGGCTGCTGGGGCCACGGCCGGACCTTCGGGGGCCACCAGCTCAACTACGCAGACCACCTGCTCAGCTACATGGGGCACACGCTGAACTACGATGGCCGCGAGCGGAGCCGCAGGCGGAGCTACGAGGACCACCAGGGCAGCGCCATGGGCAACCACCTGGGCTACGAGAACCACCAGCAGAAGTAGCCAGGCTGCGTGAACAGGCCGGAGCACCAGAACACGCAGGACTACGACACGGGGTGCCAGCCCGATCTATCGGGCTTAAAAGCCAGAGGTGCTGCAATGGCCTCGAGGGTAACCTGGGCGCGTGGGATACCACCACGGAGCGCTGGGTATCCCGATCGGGATCAGTGGCCATCAGCGTCAAGAGTACCAACGTTCAGCCCACCGATCAGTGCCCGAAGAAGCGGCTCGCCATCATGTACCAAGAGACGGCTCGAGCCTACCAATATCACGACCAGATGCAACATGACCACGTGTTCGAGCACTTATACAACCTCGCAGCCTCTGAAGGCCAACAAGGGGGGGGGCCAAACTCTTCCTCGACATGTTCCAAAACGGAAATCTGTTCGATGTATTATACGTTCGGATGGCGCAACAGTTGCGGTGAGACCGGCCAACCAGAAGCCGCTAATCATGGCACTCCAGCATGCTATCTCTCTTCTGCATGCCGATCGGACCTGCTCTTCAGCGCTTCAGACAAGGGTATGACGTGCACGGCGCTACATGCGATATACCACGCCTGCAACAATCATGCGCTGTTGTGACGATGAACGTGTACTTCGTCTACTGCGGTACCGACAAGGTACGCGATGTGCGGCGCTATAGGTAAGGTACTACGTCGTCGGCAACTGCTACACCATCCCTCGAGTTCGGGCCCTGAGCGGGGTCCGCACGAAGGCCTAGGTCACCCTGGCGGCCACTCAGGACCCCATAGAGTCCCCGCTTTCGGCCCGCCCTCTTCGCCTTTTTCCTCCCTCGCCTCCTCTCGTTAAGCACTGTTTGGGCATTTGCTGCTGGGGCAAGGTCAGGGCTAACTTCCCTCCCCCCTCCCCTCCCTGAGAGGGAGAGCGTTCAGAGTATGGTCTCCGCCTTCCCCCCTCCAGATAAAGGCTCTAGCGTGGGCGCGACACTACCGCAGCCAGCTGCGTGCCCGCGCGCGATGCGTGCTGCAATCGGCGCGGTGGATCTGGGTGACGCGTCATCGGTTGCGAGCGTTCGACATCTCATGGCACTCAACGAGATGCTGGTTTCAGCTACAGGGGGAAGTAGTAGGAACACGGCGACGTGGGACGATGGGGGGGCAGGAGGACGATGACGAGGGGCAGGAGAAGAAAAACGCGCGGAAAGAAAACGGGAAGACGATGTGAATGCTCCACATTTTCATGGCGAGATCTAATGATACCCCTCATTTAAAAAAGTGGGGGCCGAAAGATGCAGAAACCACTACTGCCTGGACCTCACCCGGGACCGAGGCGAATCCTGCAGTGGCGACAAGAGCCACAAGGAGGCCCAAAAAGACGAAATTATGGAAAATCATACAATAACTATCAACATCACCCTCCCGACCCCTCCTGGGCTCATCCTGGCCAGAATTCGCGGGCTGAGCCGAATCATGGCGAGAGGACCTCCCAGAAACACACCGCCGGCATCCCCACGGTCCGTCGTCGTCGTCGTCGTCGTCGTCGTCGTCGTCGTCGTCGATATCAAAGAACGACAACGTCGCTGTCGTCGTCGAGTGGGGGGCGACCTGCGCACTTGCGCGTCCAGCCTCCACAGGCTCAGGGGGCTGTCCTGGCCGCGGGGCCGCCCTGCCCTCCAGTCGCCACCTCCATCCTCGAGGATCGACCTGGAGGATGGAGGTTCGAGGATCGAGCATCGAGGAGCGAGCATCCTGGTCCGCTGGAGGATCGAGGGTCGACCTCGTAACCTTCCTCCTCCTCCTCCTCCTCCCCCTCCTCCTGCTCCTCGTCCTCCTCCTCCTCCACAGGGCCGCGGGTATGGCCAGCCGAGGTGTTTCGTCGGGAGCGGGCGCGCTTCCTCTCCTCCTTCTCCTCCTCTTCCTCTTCCTTCTTCTCCTCTTCCTCCTCCCTCCAACTTCTACTCCCTCTTCCTCCGATCCCCATTCCCCTCCGTAAGTTCTTATCTCCAGACCTGGCACGTTCTGGCTAAGATTTCGAACCAGATCCAGCCCGCGGCGAGAATTGATGTTCGAGGGTGTGGATAGGATGTGTTGAGCCTTTGGGGGTCTCGATTAGGATCTATATTTCCCAACCCTCCCTGGCTGGGTTCTCGTTTCGAATGGAGCGCGTGGCCGAATATCCTACCTCTCCTCCTTCCTCCTCTGCCTTCATGCCTCCTGCGTCCTGCCCCTTGTCTCATCTTCCATATAGTATTCCTCCGTTCTCTCCTTCGTCCTGCTTGCGTCCCTAAGAAGCTGCAAGGTGCGCAACTGTCCCCACTTTCGAGGGCTCCAGGGAGATCCAGCGGAGTGTAGTTGTACCCGCACACAATTGGGACCTCGCGGTGCCATGCGCGATTGCAAAATATGCAACTCTCGCCCCTTTCCTGGATTTCTGGGGGGTCCAGCCGAGTGGCGTGGTGCGCGGACCCAGTTGGGACCTCGCAGCGCCCAGCGTGGCTGCGAAATGCGCAACTGTCGCCGCTTTCGTGGGGTCCTGGGAGGTCCAGCGGAATGGAGTGGTACGTGTACTCTCTTGGGACCCCGCGGCGCCCTGCGCAACTGCGAAATACGCAACTGTCGCCCCTTTCCCGAGCTCCTGGGAGGTCCAGCGGAGTGGAGTGGTACGCGGACCCGGTTGGGACGTCGCGTCGCCCAGCGTGGCTGCGAGGTGCGCAAATGTCGCAACTTTCGTCGGTTCCTGGGGGTCTAGCAGAATGGAGTGGTACGCGAACCCAGCTTGGACCTCGCGGCGCCCTGCGCGGCTGCGAGGTGCGCAACTGTCGCCACTTCCGTGGGCTCCTGGGATGTCCAGCGGAATGGAGTGGTACGCGTACTCTCTTGAGACCCTGCGGCGCTCAGCGTGGCTGCGAAAAGCGCAACTGTCGCTTTGTTATTTCTGGAGGATAACGCATGTTACCCGGGGGGGGAGGGCGTGTGTGTGTGTGTGTGTGTGTGTGTGTGTGTGTGTGTGTGTGTGTGTGTGTGTGGGAAGGGGGGGGCGAACGGCAACAGGGGCCGCGGCGCGCACCCCCTGAGGCGTGCCGCCTAATTACGTCGTCGTCGTCGTCGTCGTCGTCGCCGTCGTCATCGTAGTCGTCGTCGTCGTCGTCGTCGTCGTCGTCGTCGTCGTCGTCGTCGTCGTCGTCGTCGTCGTCGTCGTCGTCGCCGTCCAAGCCCACAGCGCATATGCACAGAGCACGGGCTCTGTGCAATTCCTTTGTGCACCAGGGCTGCTGCAGAAGTCGTATGTGTGTGCACCACGGCGACTGTGTACACCTTAGCGACCGCGTGCACAACGCATCGCGCGATCTGTGCACACCACGGCGCCTGCGTGCACCACAGCCGCTGTTTCAGCACCCCCTGTGCACCACAGCGCCTGCGCACACCGCAAAATTCGCGTACGCCTGAAGGCAATACCGACGGGGCCAAGCTCCAGAAAATCGCCGGTGGCCCGAACGTATCAGATTCAATATCCGAGTTGATTGTGATTATTTGTTTTTCTGGCCCCAGGAAAGCTGGGATATGTTGGGCCCACACCGCCTGCGTACGCCATAGCGACTGTGCACATCATGGCAACTGCGCGCACCACGGCGCCCGTGAACACCGCGCGGCTTGGGGGCGCGCGGAGCGGCGTCAGCCAGGGGAATACACGCAGGAGGCTGGATCTGAGCAATCTCACCAGCAGGAGGAGCAGGAGGAGCAAACGAAACTCGTTGCAGCAGCAGGAGCAGCAGGAGGAGCAGGAGCAGCAAGAGGAGCAGGAAGAACAGGTACACTGCCTGCGTGTACCACAAAGTTTGCGTACACCTCCACGGCCCCGACGGAGCCAAAGTCCAGGAAATTGCTGGGGGCCCGAATGTATCATATCCAATATGATGATCTGATTGTGATTATTTGTTTTTTCTGGCACGAGGAACGCTTGGACATTTTGAGCCCACAGCGAATGTGAAGCACAACGCCTGTGTGCACAGAAATGACGAGGGAGGAAGAGGAAGAAATGCGAAGAGATGCGTGGGCCCATTATAGCCCTCAACGCACGCTTACATCGTAGCGACCTTGCGCACTACAGCGATTGTGTACACCACGGCGCCTGTGTACACCACAGGGCTTGCGCTGCGTACACCACAATGTTTGCGTACACCCTTTATATGCCTGCGTACACCACGGCTGCTGCTGCAACGACGAATGCGTGCGCCAGAACGCCCGTGCACACCGCACTGCCTGGAGACCTTTTTTTTGAATTGGCGATAACCCGGGTTATTGGGGGGGAAGGGGGCTGGCCGATAACCTAACCTTCGCGCTGTGGGCAGCACTGCAGATGCCCGCGGGCGGCGGTGCCGCCGCCCCTGCAGCTGCTAACGATGCTGCCGCGATGCTACCATTGGTGCTGCGACGATGCGGGTGCAGTCTGAGAATGCCTAGAGATATCTGGACAGCTCGCATTGGAATAGGGGGGATGTGATTGCTAAGCGTAGCCGCGAAGTCTTGTGCACACTATCTGTAGAACACGAGTGCACCACACTGCCTACGAACAATACAAAACATGCGTGCGTCACAGCGGACTTGCGCACCACAGGTTCTGCTGCAGCAGAGGCTTCTGCGTGCACCTCATCGCCTGTGTACACCCCGATGCTTGTGCACATCACAGGAGCAACGTGCACCACAGCGTATGGCGAACATTTGCGCGACAGCGCTTCTGCGCACCTCCAAGGTTGTGGAAAATCGCCACCCGAACAGCGCGCACCACAGCGCATGGCAAACATTTGCGCGACAACGCTCCCGTGCACCTCCAAGGTCCCGGCGAGGCCCAAATCTGGAAAATCGCCTGGGACCCGAACATGTCACGTTCACAATGTAAGTTATTTGTGATTCTTGTTTTTTTTTGGCCCGGGGTACGGTACCCCCCGTTTTTGGCCGACCATGCTTCTGTACACCACAGCGCCTGGCCATCGAGCGCCACGACGCCTTTGTACACCACAGCTACTTGTGTGCACCGCAGCGCCTGTCTAGACAACAGTGCCTGTGTACACCACAATGCCTGCGTAAACGACAACACCCGTGAAAACCACATCGTCTGTGTACACTGCGGTGCTTGTGCACACCACAGGATCCGCGTGCACCACAGCGCATGGCAAACATTTGCGCGACAACGCTCCCGTGCACCTCCAAGGTCCCGGCGAGGCCCAAATCTGGAAAATCGCCTGGGACCCGAACATGTCACGTTCACAATGTAAGTTATTTGTGATTCTTGTTTTTTTTTGGCCCGGGGTACGGTACCCCCCGTTTTTGGCCGACCATGCTTCTGTACACCACAGCGCCTGGCCATCGAGCGCCACGACGCCCTTGCACACCACAGCTGCTTGTGTACACCGCAGCGCCTGCCTACACAACCGTGCCTGTGTACACCACAGTGCCTCTGTACACCACAACGCCCGTGTGCACCGCAGCGCCTGTGTACACCACACAGACACACACACACAACCTGTGAAAAGGACGACGCCTATGTGCACCACGGTTGCTGCTTCAGCACCATACTCGTGCATCACAGCTCCGGTGCACCAAAGTGCTTGTGTACACCACAGAACTGCTTACACTTCTTGGGCCCCCGGCAAGACCGAATTCCAGTAAATCGAAGGAAATCTGACCGTCTCAAGTCCAATATGTAAGAAATTTGTGATTATTGATTTTTCTTGCGCAGGAAACGGTCCGTCTTTTGGGCCCACAACGCCTGTGTACACCATCGCGAATGTGTGCACAGCAGCGGATGTGTACACCGCAGTGCCTGTGTACACCACAAGGTGTGGTACACCGCACTGACAGGACACAGCAGTGGTTCTGTACACCACAATGCCTGCGATGCCTGCGCGCATGATAACTGATGTTGCAGTAACAGTTTTGCGCACCACAAAATCTGTTTTTCGGTATTGCATGGGTGCATCACGATGCCCGCGTGCACCGCGCGACCTACGTGTACTCCTGCTCGCGTGCACCACAGCGCCTGCATACACAACCGAGCTTGCTGCAACAGCAGAAACTGCGCGCACCGAACCGCCTCGCTGCCTGTGCACAACGCAATCCCTGTGAAGGCGTTGCTCACGTGCACATCCAGATGCCTATGGACGACGTCGGTCGTCGTCGGTCGTCGGTATCGTTGTCGTTCGTCGTCGTCTATCGTCATCTCTCGTCGTCTGTCGTCGTCTGTCGTCTGCCGTCGTCGTCTCCCCGTGCCACTCCAAGCCCCAACGTTTCGCCAACGTGTATCCACATACCAGCATGCTGTGGCGAACACCACCGCGCCGTTGAACACAGCGTTCCCTGCAAGCGCCCTGCGCGCCCCCCGACCTGCTGCGCAACCGGCTAGGTTAGGTTATCCTGGGGGGGGGGGGGGGGGCGAGCCCGATAACCCGATTTATCGCCGGACCCTAAAAAGTCTCCTGCGTGCACCATAGCGCACGCCCGCGTGCACAACAGACCCTAGTCTGCCCAGGATCGCGCGCTGGACCAGAGCCGGGGCGTCACCGCTAGGGGGAGGGGAGGGGGGGGGTAACATGCGTTATCCCTTGGGTGGATAAAAGAATGGTCTCCTCGCGGCGCCCTGCGCGGCTGCGATGTGTGCAACCGTCGCCCCTTTCGTGGGCCCCTTGGAGGTCCAGCGCAATGGCGTGGTACGCGGACCCAGTTGGGACTTCGCGCCGCTCAGCGTGGCTGCGAAAAATCTGACTGTCGCCCTTTTCGCGGGTTCCTGGGAGGTCCAGCGGAATGGAGTGGTACGCGAACCCAGTTGGGACGCCGCGCCTCCCTAAGAGGCCGGGAAGTGCGCAAATGTCGCCACTTTCGTGGGCTCCTACGGGGTCGCGCGGGGTAGAATTGTACGGGGATCCAGTAGGGACCTCGCGGCGCTTTCCCGTCACGCAGCGCTCGGCGCTGTCGCATCGCAGCTCGCAGGGAGCCACTGCGCCACGCAGCGTATGGCTCTTCTGCTTGTCCGGGTGACCTCCCCTCCTCAGCTGCCTCTGGCCCGCCATGCCACCCCGCGCGTTTGCCTTGTTCAGCGCGACGCGCTGATCTGCTATAGAGCGAGAGCGTGGCGCTGTTCTTTCCTGCGTATGTAGCGCTTGGCGCTGCTGCTGTTACTGAATATGCATGTCTCTCATGCACACCCCTCTCTATGCTTCTGTCTCCGTTCTATATTGATTGTTCATGCATGTGTTCCTGCTTACTTCTGGGAACTCCTGCGCACTGCGGGACCTTCAACATGTTGGTTTGCAGTGAGCGGTTATATACAACATGCATATAAGCATTGTGAGGTATACATAAATATGTATATATATATATATATATATGTATAGTCATGCCATATGTCTACAAAGGGGTGGGTACGTAACCAGGTAATTATCGATTGGGGCCTCTTTTTGGCCTCGCCTGTTGGCTCGAACAAATCGCCGCAGTTTTCAGCTGTCTGCATCCGGTAGCCATTTCTGGACCCATGGGGTAATCATAAGCCAGCTCGGGAAGACAAGCAGCTCCCGGGAAGGGGTGAAGAGCTCCATGCAGGGGCCCAGCGACTCGACACATCGAGTCGTCGGAGGTCTGGGGTCTGGGGGAGGCTTCCTCCCTGCCCACCTCTCCCCTACCATCGCCCACTCCCTGCCTCTCCTGGCCCTCCCACTTCTTATGCTCCAGCCCATTGACCCAACCCCTCACCACACCACAGGCCGCACCGAACCGCGGGCGCTTCCGACCCCCACCCACCCCGCACAGGCAGCGCGGCCCCAACGTGAGATCCGACGGCGCGACAAGATTGCGACGTCGTGGAAAGTCACGACCAGACCGCCGGACCCCATCTTTCTGCGCCATTTCTGCAGCCAGATCGATCTGTGCTGGCACCCTGGCCCCAAGCGAGGCAAGAACGCCCGGCTCGAACAAAAATCAGCCGCCAGGACCTCAGGGCTCTCTCTCCTCCCTCACTCCTCCTCCTTCTGCTCCGTCCGTCCGCCTTCTGCACCGCTTGCGGCAACCCGCGCAGTCTGGGCACCCGGTCGGCTGGGCCCCGCGGCGCGGCCTTTGACTATGACCATGGCGAGCGCTGTCCGCAGCTTCCCCTCCCTCAGGGCCGGGGGCTGGTCGGCTAGCGCCCGACGCCGGAGCCGAGGGCGCCCCACTTCCTCCTCCTCCTCCTCTTCCTCCTCCTCCTCCTCCTCCGCCTCCTCCGCCTCCTCCTCCTCCTCCTCCTCCTCCTCCTCCTCCTCCTCCTCCTCCTCCTCCTCTTCCTCCTCCAAATCCCCTCTTCCTCATCGAGAGCGGTCGCTCCGAGTCGAGGCCCAGACGTATGGCTCTGACCGTGTCCACGACGGGGCGCCAACGGTCATGTTAAGACAGTCAAGCTGGACGACCACTGCCGATGGGACCGTAAAAGGGCAGCATTGCCCCTCCTCCTGCCTCTCCGACTCCTCAGCGCCATCGTGATAGCAATTCCCCATGAAAAAGGGGTCCGCAAATGGCATACGCGCTCAACCACGTGCATACATGTGCCCCCAAAAATTCTCGAGACCGCCTTCACGTCACGAGCGCTGATGGAGCAATCGCCAACTCCGAACACATGTGGACTCATGTGCGCGTAAGTATTTGTCTAGCTCCTGAACGTAATAGGCCCAAGCTCGGCTTTCTTGCCACTTTCCCGCGCCGCCATGTGCGAAAACGATGCGCTCCTGATGCTGACATCGATCTCCCCTAAGCGCTGCCGAAGACCCCATCACTGGGTACCTCTTCTCTGTGGCGCTGAGCCCAGCCTCTCTGGCGCCGCCGGGGTCCTCGGACAGGGGCTTCTGGTCACCCTCGAACCAGCCCCAGATGTGCTTCACAGAGCGATCGTGGGTCTCCTGCAACTCCTGGCGCAGGGAAGGATACTGCCTGAAAACAACAATTCATCTAAAGTCGTGTGCCTAGCGCACAACGCTTGGGGAGACAATTCACAAACATACTGGTTGTCCCCAGGCGCTGCAAGGACCATCTCGAAATACAGGAAGCCCGAACAAACAGGAACTCCGGCCCGATGCCCCCGCGACTGTCCCAACGTTCCCCCGAAAACTATGGGGTTCCTCGGAGGTCCTCCCGCATCTCCTTTTCCCCCTTACTCCTGCTCGCCCCCTCCTGAGGAGGACATCCTCCCCCTCCTCCTCCTCCTCCTCTTCCTCCTCCTCCTCCTTTTCCTCCTCCTCCTCCTCCTCCTTCTCCTCCTCCCTCTCCTCCTCCTCATGCTCCTCATTCGCCTCTTTGTCCCTCTCCTCCCCCTTCCAAGCGTCAGTCCGAAGGACGCGCCCTCCGAGGGCACCAAGACACTGCGGCAGCTCAGCGCGAGGGTGCCCCCGAGTACGCAAGGCCCCCTCGGGAAAACTTCTGTTTACACCTTAACCCTATACTCAGAGCCAGTCTGGGGGAGGGGTTGAAAACCCTTGAGGGGGGCAGGCGGAGCAGAGCCCGAGAGGGCTGGCAGAAATACTGCAACAACAACTGATCGATGTTGACATGACGATATTGCGCCAGGGCGCGGGCTGAGGGGGTATTCAACCCCAGAATTCTTCAAGAAAGCGAACGCAGCTCGAGCTGGCTGCATGAGCACAGCTTCAGACCGAGGCCAGCTTCCTGAGCCTACGACCTAGGTCACAAACCACAAAACTTGTTCGACCCCTCCCCAAAGGGAGGGCGCGGTGGGGCCGACTAAAGCCCAGAGGGGCAGAGGGGGACGGAGGGGGAAAGGGCGGCTAACAGACTACGACGGGTAGTGCAAAATAAAATTCAAGAACAACTATTTACACCTGAACCCTATACTCAGAGCCAGTCTGGGGGAGGGGTTGAAAACCCTTGAGGGGGGCAGGCGGAGCAGAGCCCGAGAGGGCTGGCAGAAATACTGCAACAACAACTGATCGATGCTGACATGACGATATTGCACCAGGGCGCGGGCTGAGGGGGTATTCAACCCCAGAATTCTTCAAGAAAACGAACGCAGCTCGAGCTGGCTGCATGAGCACGGCTTCAGACCGAGGCCAGCTTCCTGAGCCTACGACCTAGGTCACAAACCACAGAACTTTTTCGACCCCTCCCAGCCGACCCGACCGGGCCACTGGCCAAAGGCCTTCAAGAGAAAAACTGCCGAGCACGGGCGACACGGGCGTGTGGGAGAGCGAGGCAGAGAAAACTTTAACTTGCTTTGTTCAAAACCTCACGGCCTCCCCCCAAGGAGCCCCTCACCAGACTTGGCTCGCTATTCATTCGGTGGGGAGAGGGAGCTGGCCTACGTCGACCCATACATCACGACAGGCACCTCGCGGCCACGGGCGCTCGCGAGCGCCCCGACGATGCGCCTGCCGAGCGGCGTCCCAGCGCCTGGCCCTCTCACGACGGCGTCGTGCACCGCCTGTCGCGGGCGGCGCCAGAACGCACAGCCCTGCTTGATCTGCATGCCGTCTAGCTCACTGAGCTTCTCCACCAGCGCGTGGCACTTGGTGTAGCGCTGGAGGCCAGCGGTGGAGGCCCAGCGGCCCCGCCTACGCGCCGCCTCCAGGTCGCCGCTCAGCGCCACGAAGCGGGCTGCCGCAGCGTGGCGCATGCCGTGCGGTGGCCCCATGGTCTCCAGGCCCACCGCCTTCAGCGTCTTCATCCAGACCTTGCGGAAGCTCGGCTGGGTGAAGGGGAAGACCTGGTCATCAGGCTCCCGATCCTGGACCGACACCTTCATCAAGAGCCTCGACAGCGGCCACTCCAGCACGGCGCCCTGGTTGGCGCCCGTCTTGGTCTTCTGTCCCATCATGCGGTCGCCGGGCTTGAGGCCCACACCGCCGTCGGGCGTGAAACTGACGTGCTTGGCCCGCAGCATCTCCCAGTCCTGCTCTCGCAGCCACCCGTCCAACTGCGCGATGCAGGCACTCGCCTCCAGCAGGTACCCCATTTCCAGCATCCTCGTGATGATCACCCCCATCGCCTGGAACGGGATCGGGTGGCCCTCACCTCCGAACTGCATGCGCTCCCACGACTTCAGCGCACGATGCGCCGTTGGGGGCCTCCCTCGATGGTCCTCGAAGATGTGCATGAAGCCATTGAAGGCGAGGGAGGCCTTCATGTAGTTGTCGCCCATCAGGTTGCAGAGGTCACTGATGTAGTTCCCCAGCGCGCGGTCCCTCTGCTCCAAGGTCGTGAACGGCACCTCCCCGCGTTTGCAGTCAACGAGGAAGGCCCTGACCTCCCGCTCGTAGACGACGTTGGTGGAGTCGTCGACGGCGTGGACCACCAACCCGTTGTTCCACCGAGGGCGGTCCTGCTTGGCCTGCTGCCAGGCGCGTGCGCCGCGCTTCTGCAGCGGCGGCGCAGACACCCCCCTTCGAGCACCGCTGGCCACGTGCAGCATCACCACCAGCACGACCCAGAGGGACAGCCTGCCGCCGTTCCTCGCAGCCGAACCAGCTTCGCCGCCCGCGGCGGCCCAGCGTGACGCCCTGCAGCTCCTTCTCGGAGTCGCCGTCGCTCCCGATGCGGCGGCAGTAGCAACCCACGTCGCCGAGGTAGACGCCCAAAGCCGCCACGTTCTCGCTTGGGGGGCCGAGGCCTCCCTGCTGAGAAGGTAGTCGAGCCCCAGACGTACCGCCAAGGTCCCGCGAGTCACCGCCGCCGTTCCAGCACCTGCAGCAGCGGCCGCACCGCCTTGGGCGTCGTCCTCATCCTGTGCGCCTGCTTGGTCTCGTCCGCTGCGCCGATGTCGACACCTCTGCTCGGGCCGTCCGCCAGGTTCCACTGGCTGGGCACCCGCCGGTAGTAACCCCTGATGCCCAGCGCCAGCGCGATGCCACATGCCACTCGTGCCAGCCTCAGAAGCGACGTCGCCGATGAGCGACCCTTCTGCAGCACGCCCATGGAGACAACAGAGTCCGTCATGATCACCACTCGCTTGTGCCAGCATCTCGAAGATCTCGCCAGATGCCGCAGCGCGCTCACCACGCACCGCAGCTCCAGCACATTGTTGTGTTCCTCCGCCTCCCAGCGTCCCCTGAAGAGCTCGCACCACCTCGACTCGTCGACCCAGGAGGCGCCGATGGGCATCACGTGCCCCCTGCTCCGTACCGCCCGAGGTCGACCCCGTCGTAGTCGCACCTGCGCCCCCTTTGGTACTTCGCTCCAGGCGTAGTCGAGCTGCTCTAACCTCGTGGCGTAGTGCTCCAGAAAGACGTCCCCATAGTTGACGGCGACGCCCGAGGTCAGCGGGAACTCGTCCCACAGCCCATCGTTCTCCACGAGCCTCGTCAGGTTGGTCAGCACCACCAGCTCGCCCACCTCCAGGGAGAAGACGCCCTCCACCTCGGCAAGCCTGTCCCAGGGCGCCCACTCCAGCATCTTCAGCGCCACGGGCCCCAAGATAATGAAGCCGAGCCCCTCGCGGACCGCGAGCCTGGCGACCTCGATGATCACCTGCGCGATGTAGTTGTCCTCGTCGACCTTGCGCTGCATGCCCTCGCTGAGCCCTTCGTAACCCCAGGGCGTGCGTGAGTCCCTGTAGTAGTTGTCCGAGAAAAATGTCCAGGAACAAGGTGAGGTGGAAGATCCAGTACCACCGCCTCCGCAGACGGCTGAAAAAGCCGCTCTACCACCGCCGCGTCCATCAACGCCCCCATTCGCACGTCCTCCATCCAAGCGCTCACCTGGTCCCCGAGGTCCCCCTTCAGGTCCAGCAAACACTGCTGAAGCGTCAGTATACCAGGACGTCCTTCGCTCGGGTGCATCATCTCGTCCTCTTCCAGGCCCTACTTGCTCACCTCGTCCTCTATCTCCGCGTGCGTCTCCCCTACTCGAATCTGCCGCACCTGCTCGGCCCCACGGTCCAGCTCGCCCCTGATCTCCTCCACGCTTGACTTCGTCGCGACCGCTCCGAAGCCCTCGTCGCTCGCGTCGGTCATGTAGACTGTCGTGTGCCAGTCCAGCTCCAGGTTCGCCTCGAAGAAGATGGCCAGCGATGACAGGGCCTTCAACTCCTCCAACACGGGGACAGGGATGCGCTGCGTCTTCTCGGCCTCCTCGTCCGCAAAAGCCCCGACCCATCGGTAGCAGGCGTCCAGGATCGCGAAGGCAGGCCGACAAACCAGCATCGCCCACGCCCAGCAGCCCACCACCGAGGCAAGCTCCCGAGGCCGCACGGACCGAGTCACCGCACTTGCCTCGGCGCAGATGATCAGGTCCTTCATCTTCTCGGGGTAGACCTTCAACGTATAGGGCCGTCCAGATATGAGAAGCCCAAGCCCGCGTCGCAGTCCTTCCCCAGCCTCCTCCTTGTGCACGGCGAGCCCCTTCGCGTTCAGATAGCTCCGCACGTGGCCCTTTGTGACCTCGAGGTCCACGTCCCCCCCATCCTTCGCCAGCTTCAAGCCGATGTAGTCGTCGATGTACAGTAAAGGAGAAGCTCGGCCTCGGCGAAACTCGGACACGCCCTGCCCAGGGTGATCTGCTCCGTGACCAGTCCCTCCATAGACTCGAAGCAGTCCACAAGTGCCGAGTGGGCCAAGAAGACCGCCCAGGCAGCCCCCATCACAGGCGCCACTGACCCCACGCCCGCGGCACCCGCAGGCGGGGCTGGCAGCTCCACCCCCGCATCCTTCGCGAAGGCGTGGGGCTCCTCGGGCAAGACCCCCTCCAGCGTGAAGTGCTCCGCTAGCCCGTCCGACCACCTCAACCTGTAGAACCAGTCGGGCACGTCCCCCTGGAAACTGCCCAGCACACGATCCTTCAAGATGTCGTTCGTCAGCTCCAACTCGGACAGGGCAGAGGGTGGCCCCAGTGGGGTCCACGGTGGTCGCCGAAAAAGCAGATTCACCTTCCGCGCGTCCCAGATGAGGCGGGACTTGATCACGTCCCGCCCGTCCTCGCTCACGTCCTTGGCCACGCAGAAAAGGCCCGCGGTATGCTTCACCTCCTTGACGTACTGGACCATTCCTGCCCGCATCATCCTCATGGCCACGGTGAGCCTGGTGTGACGATCCTTCCAACCTGGATCGGAGTAGCTCTTGATACCATCGTATCTCCCCCAGTCCACCTCCTTCGGATCCTCCAGCATCCGACTCTCGAAACGCTCTAGGCATGGCGCCGCGGTGGTCGAGAGGCCCGTCAGAGACAGGCCCGCGGCCCCTGGAGGCGGCAGCGAGACCTGGTCCGCCACCATCCTGCAGAGGTCGCCCTTCTTGATAAACGTAGTAGTAGATGTAGTCCGCTTGTGGCCGCATCCTGCGCCCACTGCGTAGCCCGAGCTGTCGGACCCCCGCAGACGGCGAAGCACCGCCTTGCCGTCGTCGATGCTCCCCCACGCCCCGAGAGAGGCGCGACGATCCCAGATGTCGTGGACCACCTTGCGCTGGAGCCCCGTCGCGCCCCCCCACGAGCTCGGGACAGTCGACCCATCGTCTGCCCCAACACGCCCCGCCGCCAGCGACCGTAGAGCCCGAACTGTCCGACAAGTGCGCAGCCAGGTTAGCCTCAGCTGCTCCGTCGTAAAGCCTGAACTCGCAGCTCGCGTGGCCAGGGGCCCCGTGGGAGAAGGCAAACCCCGAAGAGGGTCCCGCTCCCTGAAGTCCATCATCATCAGGCCGCCGTAAAGAAAGCACCTGCTCACGTGGAGCACGACGAAGGTTGAGCGCACTGGTGCAGTTCAGGTCCGAGATATACAAGCCACGGCCTGAACAAAAGAGGCCTCGCCCTCCAGCGCACACCGGTTGGGCGAGGGTCAGCGCGGCGAGCCCGAGGAAGCCTCCCCTTCTGCTCCACCCTCGACCTGACGATCTCCCCGCTGACGAAGCCCACGCAGCACAGATCCACAGGAGTGAGCACAGCAGTGCGAGACTTGCCCAAGGGTCGCCACTCCAAAACGAACCCTCGGGCCACCCCTATTCCTCGTCCCTGGGCGCTGCGTCCCGCACCGACGCCAAGTGCTTCTGGATCTGCGCCCTCTTCCTCAACTTGTCCGTCACCTCCTCGTCCGCGAGAGCGTCCTCGATGGCGTCGTGAGATGTCTGCCTCAAGTGCTCCTCACCTAGCGACCAGTCGACCTTGGACTTCCACTTTGCCCCGCTCGCATTGCGAGGCCTTTTTTTCCAGTCATGTTCGCACGTCACGCCCTCGTAGGCCTTCATGATCGCATACATCCTGAGGCAACTCAGCTCGCTGGCCTGAGAGTTGATCAAGCCCTTGAAGTCGCCTGAGACCATCATGCGGTCCAACGTCATGGCCAGCACCGGCATCTCGTTGGCGATGGGAGCCTTTGAAAGCTCCTTGCTCCTCAGCCACTCCTGAACCTCGAGCTTCGCGGACCGCCCCCCCCTGTAGATCTTGCTCAGCACCGTCGGGGCCACCCGCGTCCTGATACCCCCCACACGCATGTTGGGGACGTGCTCGTAGCTCTTCAAGGTCTGCAGGAGGGCACCCCTGGGATTCTTACTCTCCATCTCCAGCTGAGCGATCGTGTCCGAGACTGACCCATACCCTGGTGATGATGGCAGCCGCTCCCAGTCCGAGTCCGAGGCGGACTTGCCAGCCTCACGTCCACTGCGTCTCGTACCACGGTCCGAGTCGCTCTTCACCAACTCCTCATGCTCATTCAACTTGGCAATGAACTGGTCCAGCTGCGCAGTCGTCGGAGTAGCCTCGTCGGCGGACCCGACGTGACCCCCCGTAGCCTTGCTCGGAAGCTCCGCCCTGTCCTTCTTCAGCGCCTCTGTGACCGCCATCAGTCCAGCCCGTAGTTCTTCCTGTCCACGCTGCAGCTCCGCATAGAGACCCTTCGCGTCGGGCTCGTCGTCTGAGTCGGGCACCGCGGTGCCCATGATCAGCTCCCCGTCGGACACGTCGGACTCGGAGTCGGAGTCCGAGAGGCCCTGCCACTGGCGGAAGACGTAGTTCAGCAAGAACACCCCGAAGATCACGCCTCCGCCCGCCATCAGCACGGCCTCCAACTCCCCCGACTCCCAGGCCTCCAGCAGGAGGCCCCAGTAGTCGGACACCTCCTCCGCCGTCTCCTTCGCGGCCGCTGCCGCCTCGAACACCCTGTGGAAGAGAGGCCCCAGGTGGAAATACCTCCAGATGCGCCAGGCGGCGAAAGCACCCCCAGCGAGCCCACCCCAGGAGCGATGAAGCCACCCGTAGCAGACCAGGTTCGAGCACATGGCCCACACCCAGTTCACCAGGCCCGCCTTCTTCGAGGTCTTCCGCTTCCCGCCCAGCTTCCAGAAGCCTCTCTTCTTGTCGGCGGCCTTGGCCACCTTGACGCTCTCGGCGCCCAGCTCCTTCCGTGCAATCAGCCTCGAAGAGGCCGCCAGCACCATGTCCCGAGTCTTGCCGCTCAGCTCTGGGAAAGCCGTCCACTGGCTGATGCCGCGTGGCGGCTTGCTGTGCGCCGATTGCTTATCCTTCAAGCATATGATCTGCACCCTGAGCGACGGGCCCACACACGTCCACGTTTGGTCGCTGGCCTTCCCCACCCGCTCGACCAACAGCATGACCACGCCCGCACTCTGCCCTTTGGGCAGGTCGTAGATCCTGTTCCACTGCGCCCAGCCCCCCATGACTAGCGGGCTGCCCCCGACGATCTTGGTCTCCTCCGCAGCGCCGATGAGCTCGACCTCCTCGACTGAGGCGGGGCCCTCCGCCTCAGTCTCCTCGACGTCGTCCTCGCCCTCGCTCTCGAAGCGCAGGCCGAGGAAATCCAGGACCTGGTCCTGGCTGAACCTGCCCCCCGCGGCCAGGGCCTCCTCCTGGAGGTCGCCCGAGAGGCCCAGGAGCGCCAGCAGCGCGCCCGCGAGCGCGCAAGGCCGCGGAATGGCGCCGCGGTGGGAGGCCGTGCCCAGGCACGACCGCAGAGGGGCCCGCCTGCGGGCCTCGCCCGCGCCGACTTGAGCCCAGAGGGGCAGAGGGGGACGGAGGGGGAAAGGGCGGCTAACAGACTACGACGGGTAGTGCAAAATAAAATTCAAGAACAACTGGGCCCAGGGGGCAAACATAGACAGCGCTCCGCACGCGGCCCCTGCGGGCAAAGCCGCGCGCGGGCAGTCGCCCAGCCTGGCAGACCCTCCCGGCGCATGCGCGACAGGCGCTGGACGGCACCCTCTTGGACCATCTGGTGTGGAGGGCGCAGTGCCCGAGGGTCGCAGTTCGGTGCCCTCTGAGGATTCCTGCGTCGGAGGCTGCATGTAATGATGCACATGTGCGGCAATATGTATGTATGCATGTATGTATATATATACATATATACATATATTCACATACACGTATACATATATAGTCATAAGGCGTGGAAAGCAGTTCCACGCACACACACACACACGCACACACACACACACACACGCACACACACATACACACAAACTTGTATCCGGAGGGGGAAATTCTAGGGTGCGAACCGAGTCAGGCTGGAGTCGAGCTGCCTTGGAGGAGGACGGGACTGGGGAGAGGAACGGTGGAGAGAGGAGGCAGACGCATGCATGGGGACGGTGGAAGGAGGTGGAATGGGGGACGGGGAGAGGTGCAGGCGGACAAAAAGGCGGGACAAGGAACGACTGGAGAGGAAGGGGGATATGTTTTGACATCGGCGGCCACCGACCCCCCATTCTCCCTCGTAGATGGGGCAACGAGGACAGCGCTCGACTGCGACTCCACTCTGCTCGGGGTGGACAGGAAAACAAGGGGGAATGAGAGGCGGGGCAAAGGGGCAAAGGGCACAAGATACGGAAGCAGAGGTGGCAGATGGCGACGGCAGGAGGAGTGATGGAACGGAGGCAGAGAGAATGAAGGATGGCAAGGATCGCAAGAGCATGGGCGGAGAGTCCGCCTGCCTCAACTGAAGAAACAATGGCCCCGAACGCAGCTGTGCATAGCTGTTTGCGGCGACTTTGGCCATCGAGTACACGTGCCCGACGGCAATACCCGAGAACGTCATGTGGAGGGCGGCGGCGGCCCGACCAGCAAGCTGGCAAGGTGCCATCGCCGCCCTCCCCCCGCGACCCGGGCCCCAGCTCCGCGAGGACTTTCCCGGTCAACCGCCTCAGGACCTCTTGGGCTGCCGCTTCTTCTTCTTCTTCTTCTTCTTCCGGGGCGGTGCGGTAGTCGACTCGGTGGTCCCGCCTTTGGGCAGTTCGGCGGCCGCGGTGGCCTCGTTCTGCTGCTGCCGAGTTGCGAAAACCATGGCACACGCCCGCATGCCGCTCCACTCGTCAACCGTCGGCCACTCGCCACTCCCCCATCGCCTTCCACGCCCTGGCCCGGGCGACAAGGAGAGGGCGGTGGAGAGGGAGGCGCCCGATAACCACCCCGCACCCCGTGGCCGCGCGGGCGCACCAGCCGCCCAAGCCAACCGTCCAGGCTGGACGGCTGCTGATGTGCCCCGGCCCCACGGCCTCCTCGAAGACATTGATCCCAGAGCTCACGCTCGGCCCCTGAGATGCCAAGGCCCTCGTACTCCAGCCCGCGGACCGCGGCCCCCTGAAGCAACTCGGCGGGCGCCTCGTCGGTGTCGCCTAGGAATTCGTCCACCTTGACATTCGTCTCGGCCGCCTAGGCCCCAGCCTTCACGTGCTTCTGGATCCCCGCAGGGAACCTCGGTCAGCGGAGCCTCCTCCGCCGCGGCCGCCCTCACGTACGCCGCGTGGTTGGCCTCGCCCGTGGCAAGCCAGCTCCTCTTCCTCGCGGCCTCCATCTTCTGCTGAGCCTCCGCGTCGGCCACGGCCTCCGTAGGCGCCTTCGCGGCGTTCTCGAACTCCTGCAGGCCCTCCCCGTCGATGCCCCCGCATTCCCCTATCACCACCAGATCGGGGAAAACGGGCTCGCCGAGGAGCGCTTTCTCAACCAACGCCTGGCCCACGAACTCGCCCTTCGGCACGATCTGCTGCGCGAGTGACGAAGTGCCCTCGACCTGCAGCATGATCGACACCTGCTCGTCCAAGGCCGCCTACACGGCCACCGCCTGTTCGACCACCGTCTCGACCGCGAACTCGTCCGTCAGCGAGCGGACGGTGGTCCCAACGTACCCCGGCAACTTCACGCCCGCGCTCTGGTCGACCTCCTGGCCGACCTGGTCCCCGAACGCCATCGTCGCTTCCTCTCTGATCTCGCTGGCCTCCTCATCGGTAATCGCACAATCACCTATGAACTACAGCGTCATCTGCCCAGCCTGGTACCTCGCGACCATGAGGGGCGTGTGCACACCCCTAAGCGTGCCCTTGAGCAACGCCGTGATGAGCTTCTCCCCCAGGAGCAGGGAGTGCACTTCCAGCAGCGCACCGCCCGCGTGCAGGGTGGTGGTAGGGCCGCCCATCGCGTCCACGCAGGTCTCGACGGCTCGTCACTCGCGCCGAAGGCCGCGGTCACGGCCTGGCCATGGCTCTCCGCTGACGAGCCGCTCTTGAGTACCACTGCGAACGCTCTGCCCCCGCCCGCCCTCAGAGCCAAGACGGTTCCGAGAAAATGAAGGGAAAACGCTAAAGAGACATACAACTGTATAGACATTTACATACCTATACATACAACCATATACGTGTATGTGTGTACGTGTGTATGTGTGTATGCAGGTGTATGCATATGAACAGGCACATGTATAGGTATACGTATGTGTAAATGTATATGGGGGCGGATATGTACATGTATGTGTAACTGTGTATGTACATGTAACTGTGTGTGTATGCGTGGGTGTATGCGTATATGTATGTGTATATCAGCGTGAGGGGCCGAACTGTCATTCATTGTCCCTGGGTGCGTGGCTGAAAAGACAATTCGTGATGAGGAATATGCCTGTTGCGTTGTTGTTGTTTGTCCCCACCGCAACCCACCCCGCGACCCACCCCGCGACCCAGCCGCGACCCTCCCGCGACCCACCCCGCGACCCACTCGCGATCCACCCGCGACCCACCCCGCGACCCACCCCGCGACCCACCCGCGACCCACCCCGCGACCCATCCGCGACAGACCCGCGACCCACCCCGTGACCCACCCCGCGACCCACCCCGCGACCCACCCCGCGACCCACCCGCGACCCACCCCACGATCCACCCGCGACCCACCCGCGACCCACCCGCGACCCACCCGCGACCGATCCACATTGGTTTGAAGAAGAATTGGCGCCTGGCGGGCTCGTTGTATAAGTTGTGGAACTGTTGCGCCGCGGCGGGTTTCTCCAAAGTCTCGCAGACTGCCGACGTCCCCACCGCCCCCTCACTCTTATCCGCATCTGCGGAGTGCTACGACGTATATATGTATATGTAAGTGTAACTGTCGATATATATATATATATATATATATATATACATATACATATATATACATGTATATTTGTGTATGTATAAATATACGTGTGTATGTATGTATGTATGTATGTATGTATGTATGAATGTATGCATGTATGTAGGTGTGTATGTATGTATGTATGTATGTATGCATGCATGCATGCATGTATGTATGTATGTATGTTTGTATGTATGTATGTATGTATGTATGAACGAACGTATGTATGTCTGTATGTATGTATATATAAATAGCGTGCGAGAGAGGGGGGGAGAGAGAGAGAGAGAGAGAGAGAAAAAAAAAAAAAAAAAAACATACACACAAGCATAAACAATATAAAACGTGCAGCGAGGGGAGGAAGGAGTGAAGGAGAAGGGGGATGCATGTCTAGGCGGGAGGAGGGTGAAACGTTGAGGGAAGAGGGGGAGGGAGGACGGATGAGCGAGAAGGGAGGGAGGCCAGCCTGGACTCGATTGATTTTTTGATACATTGCTCGACTGTCTGAAGGCGGTCTGAGGGGCTCTTGGGGCGCGTGGGGGCGCGGAGGACGAAGCAGGGGACGTGTCCAAGAGCCTCTCTGGGGTCTCATGAGGCCGTTGCAGGCTCGGGTTGGGGATGTCTGCAATTCTGGGACCCCCTGGCTTCGCTTGCGGGTGTCTAAAGCCATATTGGGGCTGTTTGGGGCTCATCTTGAGCAAGCTTGGGGCCCTGTGGAGCCGCCTTGAGCTCTTCTTGGGGCGATCCTGTCGCGTCGTGGGCGGCGCTTGGGCTGCTCTGGTGCGGTCTGGGGGCTCGTCATGCCCGTTTGACCCGTCTGGGCACGAGCTTCAGGGCTTCTAGGGCTGTCTCGGACACTCTGTAGGCTTAGCCGCGAGGCGCCAGTTGGAGTGTCCGCAGGTCCCTTCGAGTTCCCTGTGTTAAATATGTTATTGCTCGCGAGGGTGACTGCAGAGCCGACTTCTGGGCGCTCCTTGGCGCTCTTGGGCGCTCCTCGGGCTTGTCGCGCGTTCTCGCCGAACTTCTCGGCAAGCAGAAGGGCTCCGAAACGGGCCAAGAGGGCCCCAAGATGTCCCCAAGACGGTCCAAGAGCGCCCCGACTCGCCCAAACATCCTTCCAAGTTCCCCGGGATGGCCTCAAGACTGCCCAAGAGGCCTCCAAGACGCACAAAGAGGGCCCGGAGAGGTCAACGTCATCGAGTCCCCCACAAGTTTATGCAATATTAAAAAAAAGCTCGCCTTTCCAAGCTCCCGACACCCCAGGACGGCCCAAGAGGCCTGGAAGATCGTCCCAAGACGGCCAAAAGGCGCCCACGAAGGCCTCCAAACGGCAGGGCCCCAAGACAGTCCAAGACGGCCACGAACCGTGAAAAGGCGTGTGCCCCAGTGGGCGGGGCGGCACCACGAGACCTCACGAGGCAACGAAACGTGCGATGCATGTGCCGACATGCACGGGGCGGCGCCACGTGACCGCTGCCACTGGGGCCTTCGGTGGAGTTTCTGTGTGGGTGGGGGTGCGCGAAACGTGCGAGGAGTGTGCCGGCATGCAGCGCCATGCGACCGCTGCAACTGGGGCATTCGGTGGAAGTCCCTGGGGTGTGCCGACATGGGCAATGCGACCGCTGCCACTGAGACCTTTGGTGGAGCTCCCTGTGGGGGAGGACACAGGGCGCTGCGGACTCAAGACCCATCTCAACACAGGATGGCCAGGAAACAGCCATGTGCGGGGTGCGCCGAATAGTGTCCTCTCTTGGGCAGCCTGTCTCGGACAACGCAATGCGCGACTCTGGAGCTCTGGCGTGGACAACCAAAATGCGCCAGGGGCGCTGTTACGGCGCCCTCCTGGGCGCCCTGCCCACGCCAAACACAACGCGGGGGAGCGGCGAACGGTTTCATCTGGGCCGCCCGTAGGGAGAACTCGCGGTTCTTGGAAGCTCCTGAGCAGAACGGCGCGACTCGCGAGCGGCGCCGCACGGTGCCTTCCGAGGCCGCCCATACGTAAAATTACCCGAGACGTGCCCATCTCCGTCTGCACGAGAGGCGAGTGTTTGCATGATCGTTCCATTAAACACACATGGCCACATATACACGATATGCGATGCCCTCATCCCCGCTGTGCCTCCCAGAAGCCCACGAAAGAGCCGACAATTGCACAGCCCGTAACCTCCCAAAAATCCACGGTCTCCGCTGGATCCGCGTGGCCCCCGACTCCGCCTGACATCCCAGGAGCCCACGAACATGGCGACAGATGCGCTGTCCGTACCCACCAAAGGAGCTGCGAGGTCCCGGTTACTCCGCTATTGCCCGCTACCCCGCCCTGCTTGACAGGAGCCTACAAGTGGCGACAACTGGGCAATTCGCAACCACCCAAGGAGCTGCGAGGTCTCGGTTGCTCCGCTACTCCGCCGTACCTCCCAGGAGCCCACGAAAGTGGCGACAGTTGCGCAGTCTGTGGCCTCCTAGGGAGCTGCGAGGTTTCGGGGACTCCACTACTCCGCCGTGCCTCTCCGCAGCCCACGAAAGCGACGACAATGGCGCAATTCACGGCCACCCGGGGAGCTGCTAGGTCTCGGGCACTCCGCTACCCCGCCGTGCCCCCCAGGAGCCCACGAAGTGGCGATGGTTCTGCAGTTCGCAGCCACCCAGAGAGAGGCGAGGTCTGGGGAGCTCTGCTACCCCGCCGTGCCTCCGAGGAGCCCAGGAAAGTGGCGATAGCTGCGCAGCTCGCAGCCACTGAACGACCTGCGAGGTCTCGGGCACTCCCATACTCCGCCGTGCCTCCTGGGAGCCCGCGAAAAGTGGCGACAGCTGCGCAGTTCGCAGCCACCCAGGGAGCAGCGCAGGAGGAGGCAGGAGGGGGGAGGAGAAGAAGGAGAAGGACACGCGACCGCAGTGCTGTATTCAAAACGAGAATCCAACACAGGAGGGTTTGGAAACAATGCATGCGCGAGACGCGCCGAACGGCGCCCTCTCGTGGGCCTCCTGCGTGGGAAGACGCCACCGTGCGACTCAATATGCACGGGCCGCTCACGGGGAACAGCCCCTGCAGAACGAACCAAACTGGTCTCGAGGCGAATTGGCGTCTTACCAAATGGCAATGAAATGGAGAGGGAGGATGAAGCTGAGGACGAGGAGGAAGATGAGAGCAATCACCACCATCATCCTCATAACCACAAGCATCATCATCACCACCACCATCAGCATCATCATCATCAGCAGCATCCTCATGATCATCATCATCATTATCATCATCATCATCATCATCATCATCACCACCATCAAGCTAAACAGTATCAGCATGATCACGGTCATGGTCAGAATCGTCATCATGATCATGATCATCATGATCAGGATCATCATCATCAGCAGCATCAGCAGAGGCATCAGCATCTTCAGCATCATCATCATCATCATCATCAGCAGCAGCAGCAGCAGCATGATCGGTATCATCATCACCATCATCAGCAGCATCATCATCGGCGTGACTGGTGGGGCTTTCGAGCGGCCATGTCTGTGTTTATCTTGGAGGCCTGTGGGGAGATATTGGGTCCTCTTGGGACCGGTTTTCATGAAGCCGCTGCGGAACGGTGAGAGAGGAGGCAAACTGGGCTTGAAATTTGAACTGCAATCCAACGGCCCCAATTGTGGTGAGCTCGGGAAGCCGGTATACGCTCAAACCAGCCTTCCTCTACCGACTACCACGTGGTGGATGAGGAAACGGAAATGGAGCCCAACGTTTTCTCGACCCACCACGCAAAATCCGCCGACCCTGTCGGCGTGTGTGAAGGGCTTCCCCATTCGAGTCGGGCTTCTCCG